TCCAAAATATATTTGTGCAGATCTGCGGAACTTCCTTTAAGCACGACTGCGCACGCATTTTCGAACAGTTTCGGCTTGAAGAGAACAGCGTAATCCGAAATCAGACGCAATGCAGCTGAAATGAACCACTCATGAAAAACTTGGTAGGACTTTACATACGATGAGTATGGGATTTTAAAAATCCCGAGTATGGGATTTAAAAACTCCGGACAAAGCTCCGTTCAATTATCTACCGAGACCAAAGCATTTGCAAATTTTAGAAGAGACGATACGAACTGTGGTCATCAATGGAGATACAGTAATCCCTCATTACTGGAGATACAGTAATGATACTAGCATTGAGATCCCTTTAAAAAGCCAACCGCCAAAATTAATGACAACTCAAATATTCTCCTGCAAATTACCATTGCCTTCGATAGCCTGCCAACAAGATTCAAGTTTCTGTGAGAGATCTTGAATGGAAAAACACAGAGATGCCAAAATTTAGATATGATTTACGCATCTCAAGGTTATTTTGATGGATTTCTAGAACTAGAACAACTAGAAGAATAAGAATTGTATTTCTTATTATACAGTACTTCATTTTCATATTATTTTACCTTTTAATACTGTATAAACTATCAACCCCAGCTAAATCGCCACGAAACTCACGAACAAATGGTGGTGGCTTATTAAAGTTTGACTGTATATAATATACGCACCTCGTGAAGTTTCTCCGGATTGCCTGAGTTCTTCAGTAAGCGCCAGAATTTTCAAGATGACCTCAAATACTGTATCATATAGAGCGGAATCGCCAGGAATGTCGTAATGCATGCAAAGGCCACGAATAGCGACGAAACACCCCTCAACGATGGTGAGATCAACTTTTTTGGATTTGCTGTTCATCTGCCGCTGAAGTTGAACCTTGACAACTTTCGCAATAGCTTCTAAACTGCACTTTGGAAACTTCTCCGCAATTTTCCCGAGCAGCTTCAACGCCGCCCTTTTTCCTTTCAAGAAAAAAATAAAAATTTATGTCTCAAATTGGAATAGCGAAAAATTCTGCTGATCCGACTTTCTCCGAAAATCGGCACTTTTTATTACGCTAGGTTCAACTTCGGTTCAAAGTTACGAAAAATCGTGTAAAAAAAATAAAAACCTGTTGGTCTCAGTTTTGTTCCATCCAATTCCCGTATCATACGGGTGATCAACTGGGTAACTTTCCAGTCATAATCCGAGAGTTGGCCGTAAGGCTGAGTATCCAAGAGATCGGTGAGAAATTCCAAAGATTTTTCCACGACCTTCGCATTCTCAATGCATTTATTGAAAACATCCAAACACATGCCCTGCAAATAGAGCACAACGAAACCGAATTGAGAAATTTTAATTGGTTTTGGCACTCGATCGTGAACTGCTGCGCACAAAAAAAAGCAAAATATTTTTTTAGCATATGCGGAGGGTTTCTCAGATTTCATTCCAGTCAAAAGCAAATTCTCCGAAACAGAAATAATCTTGTCCATTTACAGCGAAACATACAAGATGATTTTCAAAAATTTCAGTCCATCTCGTGACAAAAATAAGCAGATGTGATGCAATCGAAAATGTCTGAGAAATCTCTCGATGCTTGGTGTTTCAATTGCAGATGGAGATTTTTTTCCTTCCTATTTTTTTCTCGCAGTAAATAATTTTTTTATCTTGTCGGATTCAAAACTGGTTTCCATGTTCATCTGGGCAGAATAAGGCTCTGCTTTCCTAATCCCGACGTAATTAAATAGTCCTTAAAGAAGAATAATATAATTCCCTCGAGTTTTCTCTTGTGTGTTTTTGTAGGACAGAGATTTTCCGTTGGTAACGTAAAAGGGACAGAACTGAGGACTTTCTCGATAATTAGATAAGTGGTCGAGAATGGATACAGTACCCATATTGAAGTCCGGATTCATTTGACTCGGACTGTTCGGAGATGATTCTCCAGATTTGTGAAAAACCGTTTCTCATTTCATTGGAATACTCACCCTGAGCAACAAAACTTTTGAAGAGTCGCCAGGAGAATGCTTGAAAAACGGCAGCAATTCAGCAATGGTCTGAATACCATTACAGACGGCCGGGATCGCTTCATTCACTTTAGCCGCATTTCTTATCGCACTTTCCAATCCACGATCTCCAAACAAGCTTTCAATGACCAGTTCTATAAAAGCGGAACAATAATAAACCTCATATTAAATTTGAACACGGCAAGGAGAAAATGAGGAAAATACAACTCACGGTGATCTTCTGAAAGGTCGACGCTGCTCACGAGCTTCAACAGCGTATCTGAGATCTGGTTCAGCTCTTCGGGCTGAACCGGATTAGCCTTATCGCTAAACTCGTTTAAAAGCCTTCGCAATTCTTCCATGTTTGAAAAAAGGCTGCCGCGAAATCAGTAGATCATGGTAACTTTCAATCAACACTTCCCGTCACAAAGGTAGCACGATCTGCCCATTCCTGATATAAACGAGTAGCGCTTAACATTTTAAAAATTACCTCGATGTGCACAAGAAAAATAAAATAAAATCGTTGGAACAAAATTTATCATCGTAGAACGCATCTGTATTCGCAGATGCGTCCTTGCTTCATCAGCATCACGTGGCCACTTCAATCAGCACGTACCAAATAATTACAGCCACCAGCCCCTATTCTGCCGCGGGTACAAACAAAGAAATTCTCAGTAAAAAAAAGAAGCACGATCACATGCGAAAAAAATTAGTTATCTCATAGACTGAATAGTCCCTCTCTTGCCGATAACAGGGTTCACCTCAGTCGAGATGATCTTGTCAGAGGTCGTCTCGATGTGCACACCAAAAAATACATGAAATAACATCGTCGGAACAGAGTTTATAATCGAAGAACGCATCTGTATTCGCAGATGCGTCCTTGCTTCATCAGCATCACGTGGCCACTTCAATCAGCAAGTATCAAATCATTACAGCCACCAGCACTTATTCCACCGCNCAGGGAAGGTAGCGGTGACCTGAGAGAGGCCACAAAGCTCCGCCGTCGTGTGGTTCATTTTATCCTGAGGGCTCCAGATTTTAAAAGAGAACTCCAAGCTGTCTCCGTCAGCATCGCGAAGGCTGTGGTCATTCACGTATTTCGTCGTCAGGTTCACAATGGCTTGTCCTGGAGCACGGCCATAGACTGGGATATCCTTCAGAGCACAGGACCCCTCAAACACATCACAAATCCAACCCACTGTTACGGCGACTTGATTGAACCACTTGAGGTCATCGAGTCCGAGATACGAGATCCAATCCTGCTTTTTTTTTCCCTCTTCATCACGCGGGTAAGTTGGAAATTCCGTACTGTACATACTCCACCCATACCCACGCGAAACGCCATAACTCCTCCAGTACGATTCAGAATATGATGAAAAGGTCAGTGGAAAAGAAAGACCAGGAGCGAGTCTTCCGTGCGCAGTCCAATCCGTCTGGCTGTCGTGGGCAAATGGCGAAGGGTAAGCCTTGTCTGCGGCAAACTGGGCAACATCGACGCTGGTAAAACTTATTTCGTTGGCACATCGTCCTTGTCGATCCTTTCGGTCTTTCGTTATTTCAAACATGCGACGCATGTTTTGTCGCAAAATGGCGACTGGTGGAATGCAGTTGAACAACAGGTCCACGGGATGGTCATTAACACCATCCGCAACAATCGATCCATGGGCCAGACGGGGTCCAATGAGGCCAGAGCCTGCTTGGTCTGCGTGTCCACAAGACAGGCCGCGAAACAGGTCGACTAGAGGACCTGGTATTTTCATCATCTCCAGATCTTTCAGATGAGGGGAGAGTCTGTTCTGAGACGCGTGATGAACCGTTCCCATAAATTCCTGAACTCTCAGAACCTGGACAATCCAGAGGGTCCCGATGTAGATGTGGAAGAGTGCTGGATGAAAGTTTTCACGGTTACAATTGTTCTGGGAACGAGAGATGAGCCGTTCACAGTTGACTTCGTTCGCGATTAATCCGACAACGTAGCCGGTGAAGTAGTAGTTCGGCCAATAGGTTGACACGTCGTCTTTGTAAGTCAAGAAAGAAAGATCAGACATGAGATGAATCATAACGGTCATTTCTTCCGTTTCGTCATTCGTGCGCAGCCTTTTCGCTGAGGCTCGAAGTTGATCTCCAGAACCGCATTCCTTACTCGCCGTATTTTCTTTCACTCTTTTGTCCATGATCAACATACTGCAATAATAAACGCGTTGATGTAAAGCATCACACTGGATTGATGCACACAGCACCTTCAAAAAAAACTAACGCCTTTCTGAGAAAAGGTAAAATTGAAAAATGGTTATTACGGCTTTCTTGAAGTTACACAAGTTTCCTTTCATTCACAAGTAAGATACACGCGATCTTATATTTAGGGTGTCTCAGAAATTTTAGTTTTCTATTCATGACAAAATTTGTAATAGGAGATTTCACAGAAATACCTTAATTTAAAAATCCTCAACAACACAATAATTAAACAGATTGAACGCCTTAGGATACCTGTATTTCTTCGAGGCAAACGTTCGCATGAAAGAAGAATCATCAGAAATTCAAAAACTATTTAAAAACTTCAAACACTTGAAAGCCTGATCACTCACCGCCTCGTGTGATGCACTCCTTCACAGTCGCCTTTGAATTTGCTTCAGAATTCAGATAATCAACGTCAGTGACGAACTTGGCAAAAAATCTCAGTTTGCTATCTTCGAAATGATCTAGACTCGGTGAATAAGAAATTATGAATTTCACGAAAGAGTTGAGATTCACAATCGTGGTAATCAACGCTTGCAGTCGAGCAACTACCAATTCAAAGTCTGAGGGAATTCAATTCAGCATTCACTACTTCAGAGGTTTTCGACAGATGCTCAACAGATTCTCACGAGAGAAATTCCCCGAACTTCAGGGCGGATTTCGGAAAGCATAAAATTATAATTAAAATAAATTGCTGCAATAAATTATTGCTGCAATAATTATTACTTATGACGGAATGAGAGACAGTCACGTGACATTTCTTCGTGAAGATAAATACTTAGTAAAGTGAAGAAGTAGGCCCGGAAAATTGGAAAACACTCCTCAAAGCCAGCAAAATTAGCAAGTAAAGAATTTAAAAAAAAAGGCTTCCAAGGAAAAAAAAAATCTCTCGTAGGAAATGTCAAGAATCTCTGACGTAATCGAATTAATGTTGGAAAAAATCGGAAAACTTCAGTTCACGCAAGTGAATTTTGGGGAACACCAGTCATGAAATGTAGGACTTTCTAAAACGTCACAGGTTTAAGAAAATAAAGAATTTTTTTAATCAACCATCAATCCTTAAGCAAAATGGACACGGCTGGATTCCCACGAGACATGAAAGCACTATGATGATCGAATCATTGACCATCAAGACAATTCTGAACGAAGCACTGCGAAGTCCAAATCCCACCCAAAAAATCGCCAAGCTTTCCAAATCACCACCTTCTACGTCAGCTCAAGTGTCTTGTAGAAGAATTCCATCTTGAAATTCACTCAAGAACCTGAAAAAAAATGGAGAAAATTATTCTAAGCTCCAAAGTCGGACACCGACGACGGAGATTCTGTCGCTCGCGAGGTCTAGCCTTGAGCACAACACCGACGAGGAATCTTCCTCTAAAAACACGTTTTTGATCGTACAATCCAATAATCATTCCCAAAACACACCTCCAAAGACCTATTCTACGTAATAAGAAAGCAAAACATTCCCTCACGCGTACAAATGATCCGGGCATCAGACCGACAACTCACAGTGCAGTACGTGACGTCCTGGAACATTACAACGACGCTCACCAGCTTCAGCAGTGTCATCACGTTCATACCTCAACCCCAACTGGAACGAATTCCTCGGCAAATCCTCAACCTTAACAGGGCAAAATCCAAGAAATTACGCTAACGTTCTAAAAACATTAAAAGCAAAACTGAACAGAAGAACACGGGGGTGCATGTGAATAGCCCACTGTAATGCCGTGTAAAGCAAATGAAAATCACAACGTAATTTCACGCGACTGCGGTACTTCAGACGTAAAAAAGAATTTCAGGAAGTTGTCCATCGTCCACGGAAGTACCGTTATTGTTGCCTGCGGCGTAGGCAAAGTGGAATGTGATTTTTCCACCCAAGGGACAGTCAACCGTAACCTTGCTCAATCCGTTCGTCCCATAGAATGTATCTGGTCCCTGAAAATGTATTGCAAAAATAAACACGAAGTCTTTGTAAAATGCCGCATTCGAAGACATTTGAAATCCAAACAACAAGAAACGCTGACCAGAAAACGATTACTCCGGCGATTACTCGGTTTTTCTCACTAATTGGAAGTAAAAAACGCTGATCATAAGCTGATGATTCGATCAAGTATACATCCTCGACACACTGGATAAAAATAAATCGCCGAGTAAGACGCGCATCTAAGTTTTAGATATTCATTTTGAAAATAAAATAGATCAATATTTTGACTTCAATTGCAGTCAAAATGAATGCTTCTTAATCATCATTTCCAATTTAAATTTTTTTTTAATCGGCCAAAAATCCCACGCTGGAATCAAGTATGATATGCACCAAACTTAATTTTTTAATGTTATCATGACGCGGAACATATTTTTTCCCCTCTTCGCTTTGATAAAATGGTGCGCGTGTTACTCGAACAAATACGGCACTTCTATAGTTTTATTTCTGGCATGTTGAACTGCAAATTTTTATTTTCTTCTGCTTGTAATTTGCTGTCCCGAATACAAAGCACTCATTCAAAACCATCGTTTTCGGCATACCATGTATAACTGGTTGTGAAACCCTTGCCTAGATCACTCGAAAAAAGTTTAAATACTACTAGAATATACAGTACTGTACTTGAATGAGTACATACCGTAACTAACGCCGCAGCAGTATAGGAAACATTTGGAAGCACTTCCACGGGTTCGGGAAAGTGCACTCTAAATCGGTCCGCAGTTCCGTCAGAGCAGAATGTTGTGTCCACCAGTGCCAAATGTTTCGTACACCCCGAACGCATCAAAGAAATCGTCACTTTGTATTCCTGTGGCGTGGGGTTGATAGAGCCGTAGAGTCCGAATCCGAAAACGAAAATTCGGCGATCGACGACGAACCGAATTTTGTCACTAGTGCCACTATATCCCCATCGAGATTCCGTTTCTCCGAAACGAACTACCGAAAGCTCTTTCCCCGTCATACAGGATCTGTGCGGAGACACATTTCCGGAAAGTGATGCGATTAATTATTTAATCAGACATCATTTGGTCAAGATTTTATTTTTAAAATAAGGGTCGCATCGGGTTTCGAATGAAATTTCAAGTGTTGGAAAAAATGACGGGGGGGTTTAAATGGCTACGAAGGGATTTTCTAGGCGCATTTTGGGGGAATTTTCACGCCAAATACGACAAACCGAGAAACGACTGTATTTTGTGCGAAACTTTTCGCAAATGCAGATAAATGACATTAACAAAACCTTTTTTTAATCGTTTCGCGCAATTTTTTCGAAACTTCAATATACTCAACACATTTACAGAATGTATGAAAAAATGTTTTTTACTTCAAACATTGAATAGCCGACGCTCAATCATTTCTTCGCGAGCAGGAAACTCCACGAATCCCTCGTAATTATTTCGATTAACCATCCGAACAAATGGAAAAGTTTGAGTGCAATTTACACTTGATTGACTCAAGATTTGGCGGATTCACCTCAATAATTCACAACGTATTAACTTTCGAGTAAAGACATACCTAGGAACGTCGACGTAGCAGGTTTTCGGCTTCGGGTGAACAGTGAAGTGCAAGAAAAGATTCACCATCTCGCGATCCGAAAGTACTTGACTTTGAGCCGGTCCGGTCGCAAACTCCTCAATGGTCATCAACGGAAAGCGGATAAGTGGTAAAACTTCGTCCAAAACTACTCTCTGATTCTCAGGGGTGCATTGCAGCTTCTGGCGCTCACACTCAGCTTTCGACCAGAGTAACACAGCCTGCAAACAAGAAGAAAAAATTGAACGAGATTAATCAATTTTCCGCTAGAATATTCAGGCTGCTTTAGGAAACTAGACGGAGTACCAAGTCATGTCACAAGGGCACCGGAAAAAGGAAGGAAAAGTCATGGAGATTTAAGAAGAAACACCTTCGAAATAGGAAGGTTTTCAATGCATCGTTTTTACGGGTAATCAGACAGGGACTTCGAAAAAATTCGACATCGGTAGATATTCGAGATACAGTATTCGGGTGTTCGAGTTAGGCTTATAGTAAAGAAGTACCTGAAAAAGCTTGGCTTCAACGATTCGCAAAGTGTTGCGCTTGAGAACCACACACAGCGTGGCAACATCGGTGTCCACGAAATCTTCAGCAAACATGGCGTCTCCAGTATGCTTATCAATGATGTCTAAACATAGTTCAGCGAGTTGCTGCTCGTCGAACAGACGGGCTTGCGTGAGGAGTAAAAACGCGTTTCCAGGATTGAGATTCGTCTTCAGATAATCCACGCAGGTCTTTTCCAGGGCAGGTATTGCGTATTTCTTGGCCGTGTAAAGCATCGTCATCACACAGTCAGGGCTTATGTCTACTTCGTCCTTGTACAAAAACGACAGCATTCCGAGGAACGCGGCTGGTTCCACGTCTGGCAGTTCAATGTCGTCATCACTGTTCTCTTTGAACGGTCCGTTGAACATGGCGTTGAAAACGGCGCTTCCGGCAGAGAGCACAAATTTGTGAGCGGGAATGCGTTGTTTGAAATACTTCCCGACGAGGAAGTGCACGTCGCACAACACTTCCGAACAGAACAAATAATTCATTCTCTCCTTCAAGGTTGACATCCGAGCTTGCCAGTTGTTGGGAAGATGCGCTTGGTTCTTTGGAGCATCGCTCGGAGGATCCGGATTAACAACTACAGTACGCACGGGAGAAGAACCAGTAGCATCACGATTTGCGGCTCGATCGTCAGCCTTCTCCATCGTCACGGCACAAAGTGACCCAGGGACAAAAATTTTGCTTTTATCCGTTCACGAAAAAAGAGAGCATCCCACACGGTTCGAGAACACCATCCGCAAAGAAATAATTTTCGCCAAACACCATTTCGACAGTGTTGAACGACCGGATGATATCACAGTCCTGAATACCAACAGAACGAATTCGACTGAATTCGAAGACCAATAAACAAATAGACAACAATCGAAGTCTGAAAATGTTCGGGAACCCATAAAAAAGCTGTACAGCTGCAGTTTGTCATTTAAACTTACGAACGTGTTCACGCTTATACTACAAGAAGTCTAAAAGCTGCACTAAAATTCAATAAAATTTGCCCACTCAATTTATCTGACAGATGTACTAATTCAGATACTTCTGCTGCGCCGAAGCTGCAACGATCTATGCTGAAGTAACCGATCCTAACAAAAATATTTTACAGTAACCTGAAACCCATTAATAATCTAGAAAATTACTAGACAAATCATAGACGATTAACCCAGCCTGGTACACATACAACTAACTGCAGTGACCTATAACAATCTTGAACGTATTGATTAGCCAATCAAAAATCATACCGACTGAAATTATAGACTTCAGGTAACTGCTACTAAATGCTCGTAACTTCACTGATAATCGCTTTCAAATTGCGTGAGGAAAACCTGAAACTATTTGCGGATCGTTCATCAGTATTTTCCGTCGTCACAAGGGAAAAAATTAACATCATTTGCAACTTAGCTCAACTTCATTATGATCAAAATAATTTCAAGCAAGCTTCCGCTAATTCAACCACCCCCTCTCTTGATTCACACCAAGCTGAACGATTTGCAAAATCCACGTTCAACGCTGACTTCAGTCCTGAAATGGTCCTAAAATCTTCGTCTCTCATACCCCGCCAAGCCGAAGGAAAAGGGACCCTAAAATAACAAAATAGAAAAAAAATGATACAACCCAAATCACAGTTCTCGATATTGAATAACTCGTTAGTTACCTTTGAGTTCCGCCATGAGGCAACTCCGTCGGAACAGTGGTAATTTTCCAGCAACGGCGACCGACATCTTTCTGAATAATGAACTTAATTGAGCCTTCTACATCCAATTTATTTTCGAAGTCGGCTAAAAAATACTTCCAAGCGTCAACTGGATCATCTGTAATTTCCATCAAGGCTCCTGATGGATGCGTAGTCTTGCGCTCAGAAACGGCCTTCTGGATTTGCGTCTCCGAAAGCTTCAACGTTTTTGCAATGAATTTGACCGACGAAACGAATTCATCTCCGACTCGTTTCATTGCAGATGAGAAAAGAGCGTCTTGTTCCGGACATTCTTCCGAATTCCATGTCGGATTCAGCGCCTTTACTTTTCCACCTACGTCTGAAAAAATGTAAAAACTGCGAAATACTAAATTAGAAATCCAGAAACGAGTCTCGCCGAAGGTAACTTACTTCTGTACTCCGTCTGCAACTGGAACGCCGTTATCAAGCGCATCGATTTCTTCCAAAAAATTTTCGTAAACGGCATCAAAAAGTATAGAAACGAAGCGGTCTTCAATATTTTTTGATACAATATCCGCCAGAACTCGCTTCCCGAAGTGAGCATAAATGAGCCCAGCGCTACTCAGACGAGTACTCCATGGTTTACCAGGCATAAGATCAGAGAGTGTTTCGGTAAAGCTCCTTCGGATACATAGATACATTTACGAGACTTTAGTATGCAGCATCCTGATTTGTATTCTGTACTCATTTTGAGTATGAGGATAAAAACCGAACAGAAGTCACACTGCAAAAATGTTTCAAATATGCGGCAATTTTAAGAATAATAAAGGTAATTCAGTCAGAGACATTATAACCATCAAGTCTGAACATTCGGAGACTCTTCAAAATGGAATCAAAAATAAAAGAAGAGGACACTAACCTCTGATGATGATCGTATCGATGAGAAGCGGCATCGAAGACACCACCAACATCCAATACCAGATCACAGCCGCTCAGTTTGACGGGGTCGCGAGTTCTAAAAATCACAACCCGAACACTCAAAGGTATCACACACTCAAAACGATTCAATACATAATTCGTCTACATCTCAGGCATCGGCTCTTACCGAATAATCTTAGCGTCTCGATAATCGGGTAATCGGGTCAAAAGAAAGCATCCCAAAGCTTCATCGCAATGGAACACTCCATCGTGGGTGCCAATAGTTATCTGGGTGTTCACCATTGCATTCACTATCATGCGATGACCCAGAATCCCCAACTCAGAAACGCTGGAGAAAAACTTGAGCATAAACCTGTGAACAGAGATACAGTCCTCTCATAAAAAGGAAATTCGCTCAAATATACAATTCACTTCAACAGGAAAAGTACATCGAAAGCCGACAAGTCCTATAAAGCACACGTTCTCTCGAGCGCCCGCGCAGGTCATCTGCTGAGTAGCACTACCACGTGGTGATGAAGAACCAAGTACGTTTGATGAATACCAGGTGGTACACGAACGCGATCATTCCAACCCACCCATCGGGATTACGAGCCTGTAATGGAAAAAAATACAAATAACATTACATATACCATGTGATCCTTTCGAATTCATTCATTGTGCGCGACCTTGGCGACATCATTGCATATAGCGTGTACCTTTTCGTATGTACTTTATTACGCAGTCGGAGTCTGCAGGCAAGTTTCTGAAGTATCATCAACGAGATGACACATACGTCAGGCAGGTGTCACTCTATTGGAGAATTGACTGCAACTAAACTTCAGTACAGTACTGTTATGAGTCAAAGCCATGCTGTGCAATTGCTAAAAGAAGTCGGGAAATTTCTCGAAGGCACGTTCGATTTCTTCGAAATGCTCATTTAGAAATTTTATTGTGATCCAAGATCGAATTTATGATTATATGACAAAGCGTATCAGTTTGCATTTGTTCCTGAATCTGAAGTTGCTTTGAATTATGGTTTATGGTCTGTTGCATATAGTTTGCAGCCATAAGCACAGAACGAAGTACAATGCAGTATACTGTAATCCTGCACGATATTCTACCATTCGGACACGCCCAAAGATTTTACCACACAACTCAGCATGAGTAAAACGACGTTCCTCACGTAATGCGATTTAACATATCATAATGTACAGTACTGTAATAATTTCAATGTCCGCAGACCCACTGACTATACGGAGAGTCCATCGGACGCAGCTACGAACACTACAGGTCCTAACCAGTATACTGTCAAAAACATTTCCAAGAATATCGTTGACACGCAAAATGCATTCCATGGATCATCTGTCGAGAATGTTCATAACTTCGCATACAATGTAAATGCCGCGTCTCAAATTGTCATGCTACCACGGAGACTTGTGATCATGGATTCACTGAAGTCTCAAACCGTTGGTGACAAAAGTGCGCTGACCATTGTTTCCCGTCTAATCCTGAATGATATCAAACCCGTTTCTGCAACCGTAATGTTCTGCATCAGTTCACTTCAGAAGTCGTCGTTGGAATGACAGGTGCAAGACGATAATACTCGTCCCAACATAAGAAGTCCTTTCGTGGAAGTTTGGAAGAAAAAAACCTTATACTGTATCAGACTTTTTTTACTCCTGTATAAATGCGAAGAAATGAGAACAGTAGATAAAATGATATAAAATATGCTTTATATTTATATAAATTAATTTAGACAGAATCTACCGTGATGAACGGTACAGTTGAGTCGTACGGTTTTCTACGCAGATCACAGGATACAGCGGATTAAACATAGTAATTCCTCGAAGATTCCCAACTGGGGTAGATCGAACCAGGAGCAAGAATGGAGATCGCATGTCAGGTGGTGAACGTGGAATTCGGCATGAAGAATGATACAAGGATCAGAAACCCCCTTGCCTGGACACAAGGTCGGTCGAGGACTCATTCAACCCACACCCCAACCCTGAGTAACACAAAAGAAGTGACCTTCAGTTCAGCACAAAAAGAACCCCCCCGACATCAGGAGGGGGAAGAGCCCCCGGACGGCGCATTCCGCCAATATTCTGCACAGCATCCCCTTCTCACAAAGAACGTTGCAAAAACCCCCAGCCCCCCTCTCCGGACAAAGGTTACCCCGTGAGAAGCACGAACACAATCCGGCGCCAACCGTCGCTTCCAAACCCAGCAGGATTCCCTTCACGGACATTTTCTCACAAATGGCGTCGTAAGAAAAACAAGGATATTTCTGGGCAGAGAAACGTTTTTTATTTCAATCCACAACGCAAAAATGCATTACACCCGCAGTGCACAAAATAAAACAGATGCGCATCGGCGATTGACACAGCCAAAATAACGGATGAATCACACCCGGTGATGCATTCAACACCACCAACCGGATGCGAGGCACCGGCTACGGTAGGCGTAACGAAGTGCGCTTTCAACCGACATGTAACCCTCCTGAAAAAGATCACATCGACACAGCCTGTTCGCTGCTGTTGGATGAGTGTCGTTCTAGTCACTGAATGCCAACACAGTGCACTTGAACGGAACCCACGTACAGAACACGAACCCACAAAATCAAATCCACCGCTGTCACGGCGAAAATGAGCAGCGACAGCACCTTTGATAGACCAGACTACGTGCTTTTATTAACGTACGCAGCCTGGAATCCACCAAAGAGGTGTCGCTACACAGGTTACAAAGGCGAATGTGATCAAAAACCAGAGCTGATCAGAATCCGTGGTTGAGGTAACTTTTACTGTGATATGCACAACGCGAATCAGCACTTCACAGCGAAAGTTCCCCGAACACAGCATCCTCCGTTTCTTCCACAACATCAATTCTCGTCCGAATATGAGGTGCCACATGCGCCGTAAGCTGAATCTTCTGGTGCTACGCTGATGAACACTTCCGCGCGACCCCAAGAGATTCAGCAGAACGAGCACGTGAGATCAAGAACCGATCGGATGAAGCGTTTCATTGAAACGTAGCCTCGCTGTTCGCCATGGCCTTGCTGATCTAGCTTTATGTACCTGCAAAGTAGCAGCATCATCCAGCCAGAACACCAAGACGACGGAAACCCAGCTTTTCAAACCAGAATTCGCTCGGACATCCTCCTCGCATGGCGACAGAGGCTCGACTGACTGAAGCGCAGGCGCACGGCGTTCCGAACTTCGCTGTACCGAAAGGCTGAATGGGGGGTAGGAACCAAAAGGATGAGTGCTGAACTCTCTCGTGATTGGCCGAGGAGAAAAAGTCGAAGATGCGTGCCACTACTACTGCCATCTTCTGGCAGTGGAAACCCAAGGCTGAATAACCTTGACGACACCTGAGATTCTTTCGGGGGTGGAAAAATTGCCTTGGGAGGGGGAGGGTGGGGTTGGGTACGAAGAAAAGGGGTCGAATTTGCAAGTACAGTATGCAGTATTCCAGCGTGTTTGCGATCTTTATCAGGGGCTACTACGCGCGTCTCTTATCTTCCTTATTGGAAGCCTTCGCACCAGGAGTTCAAACCCAAGAGGTCAACTACCCACCGATGCTTTGGTAAACTAGCAAAAATTTAATTGAAATGCAGTCAGAAGCAATGATATAATGTATGTAGATTGAAGAGAAAGAATAATGGAGATAAATAGAATTTAGATTGCAGATGGATGTTCGGTTTTTTATTCAAATCTGTAGCTTTGGATTCTTATAAATTAGAACTTTTTTGTCAATACCGTAATTCAACTGAAAAAGCTTCATTAGAGCATTTAACAATAATTTAGCTAACCACCAATGATTCATACGTTCTCGGAATCGCTAATTTGAGGATTTTGCGACATCTGGCTGATTTTTTGTGGAAACTACCTTCAGAAGTTTTCTTTTAGCCGCGGGAAGTCGTTAGTTGTACGAAGCAGAAATTTGCGGGTGAATAAGCGCGACTGATGGATCCACATCAGAAAGAAAAGCCAGCGGAAGACCTTCTGAAACGAGTTTTCTTTTGTTGAAAATAACATAGGAAGAAGAGGCTGTTGGTCTTATTTTGACGATGAAAGGGAATTGAAAAAGATTGCTGGTCCCCTGCTGATTCTAATAATAGCTAGCACAGTATACAATGTAGAGGAGAAGCCGCGGCCTCGCGTGCATGGCAGAAAAATCATTACGAACAGCACCACATGAATGCATTATGCATTGATTAATGGTCGAGGTCCTCCCTAGTAAATAGCCATCGTCCTTGAGGGTTCGCTTTTCATTGAGCCAAAGACCTAAATTCCGTTATTCTGAACTTTCCGAGGCCAGTCCTCAACGCTATTTTGCATTTATGCTTAGAACTGTACAGTTTTAAGTGCGCTGAGGAAGCAGAACGCAGAAACATCTCTGCATTATCGTCCTAAACATAATTTCATGATCAACTAACTATTACAGTATTCTCATAAAGCATCAGAATGAATTCGAGGAATATGAATCTAGATTTTCGTGAATTTCAGACAACGAAAAGACGCTATAGCAAGTGACATCTACGTCCCGCTATTGCAACTTGAAGTATTTGAGCGGAGTTCGACAACAAGTACGGAACCACACAAAATAAAAAGGGATAAGGTGATCTTTTTCTGCGTCCTTTGTTTTAATTGTTAGAACATATTGTATTGACCCCTTACATGAGCTTAACATTCTGCGAATAACAGCTCGTCATTAGCCGTCATTCTGAGCAATTGATATCAAAGTAAATTCAAGGTTTTCTGACCATGATGAGTTCACCATACTGCTCATTTGGACCGAATCCTGCTTTTCACGCCCCAAATTCACGCAAGGGTCAAGTCACAATTACAGTACAAATGCATAACGTACAGTAGTTTCATGCATAATAGGATTATAGGGTCGTCATCCAAGCAGACTTCATATGAAGCCGTCATTATATGCATATCTGAGTCCCGATATCAAATATAAATGTACTGTACAGCAGTGTTCCCCAACCTTTTTGGGCCCACTGACCAGCAAATTGCCTAAAAATGTTTTGTGGACCAGCAAGTTTCCCAAACATTTTCTGTGGACTGGCCAATTTTAGTAACATTTTTGCAGAAATCTTCATGCTGGCAGGCATTTAAAAAGGCTTCTGCTTTTTGCAAAACTTAACATCCAATGGAGCAGATGTATAGTGAAATGTTTTTTAAAAATCAGAAAGCTGGGCTTGAAGAAATTTTTCTGAGACTGAAAAAATTAACATAATTTATTTCAATATGTGAATATTTTTCTGAAGTGTGCAGTAATTAAGAGAACATCCAACTTATGTTTTCTGTTGATAATTTCAACAGCCATTTATTTTTCCAAGGTTTCACATGAAGATAACAGACTTATCATTGCTACTTTTCTCAATTTACTATACTGCAGAAAATTTCCCGTGGACCAACAAAAAAACTTCTGCAGATCGGCGCCGGTCCGCGGACCACGGGTTTAGGAACACTGTTGTACAGTATATTCATACCTGGAATTCAAACCGGGTTCTGGCAATTATTTTTTTCTCAAGTATATTATACCATGAGTATATACGTTTCACGGAAAATTTTCTCGAGATATTGAAAGCATTTACGCAGAGAAGATTAGCCTTTCGATCGAAAGAATCCTCAATATTTTATTGACGATCAAATTTTAAGTGGATGCGGAATTCCGTATTTAAAAATAAAAATAAAGTCCCACCGAATGAAAATACAGTATATTCATAAAATACACTCTGCCATTATCGTCACGCATCCACAGTCCAGAGCAAAAAACAGCGGGAAACCAAATACCTGTTCCATATACAGTACAGTACAGTATTGTAGCTTTTACCTGTTATTGGGGGAACCACTCTTGAAAATTCAGCTGACCCAAGAGAATTTTGGTTCTTATTCACAAAAGGAAAGCTGCAAATTTTCTTTTGGTTCATTTAGTTTTCTATTGGAATAGTTGACCCATATTCCTACTGCCAATATATACAGGGTGCGAGGAAAAGTCAATTTGTGCCCAGCAATGCAATTCTGCACTCACCGTACATTGAAATAAAGTACTGTACCTATTGTTTCCTACTTTTCGGCAGCACAATACAGCATATTAGTGTCGGGGTTTACCTTGTTAAACATTTCAAAATGGTGTAGAATTATGCTAATACCTTGTTGAAACCCATCTATTTTTTGTGGACCTCCAGTTTTGTAAATGCAGAAAACTTGTTTTGCTTCAGAAATGTCTCTGATTTATAAAGGACGAGTATTACTAAAGCTGAAAAAACCCCTGCCATCCATCAGGCAAATGTAAATAAATCAACGTGTAATTCGGCAAGGACTAATATAAAAGGCATGATAAATGAATGCCCAGACAATCAATATTCTATGTTCTGCTTTTCATTGACGTTTCTTCAAGTGCATAAGCTCTCTTTTTTTGTGGTCCAAACCTTACTATAACACTTCCGCCGGGCAAAATAAACATGAGTAAAAAAACCCAGAACAAACAAAGTATCGTACGGGTGTCGAACAAGCCAGGCAATTATCATCCACTGCCACGGCAACCCGCAAAGTAATCAAGCCCATGAAAAAAAAGAATATACATGCATATATACATACACATAATCTAAAATGGAGGAAAACCATGGCGAATGAATTGCCTGAGTCGTCAGTACACTTGATGGATGCCGTCCGAGTGGCAGGTTTCTCCTTTCTTCATTTCCTTTCACACTTTTCTTCATCTTTTCGCCATGAAAGTGTGGTGTGATTTGTGGGGAATTTGAAAGAAAGGAGAGCGAAGGAAGAAACTGAATTGCAAATGTGACATCAGAAAAAAAAGGAAAGAGAGAATTCAAGTGCGATATCATGTGTTTTTGCGATTCGAACCAAACGTTTTCCTTTCCTTTCCTGCTGCTTCTTTTTCTGCTCGTCGATTTTTCCCATCAGGTGAGAGGAGAAGAAAAAGGATACCGTAATTGTTTTCTTTCGAAAATTATATCACATTTTTATAAAATAATTTAATGTAGCATTGAAATTCTAACGAAAATTCTTGAATTTCCGCTCATAAATCGCTGAACAACTTACAACATTCACGCCAGCAGATATTCAACTTAAAACCATTTTCTAAATCACTCTTTATCGCAGTTTCGGACGTTGAAAAACACCCAAATTGAACCTTTTTTCTCCAAAAAAAACGTCGAAACTACAGATTGTCAATGATTTCAATTTTCTTCCAAGTTTAAAATGATCTGAACTGTTAACATTTCTCATAAATCACGATGTTTGAGATTAAAAGCAGCAAATCTTGTTCTTATCTTTCTTATTAAAGCTGAGTATCACGCGCATTATAATAATAAGATACACTATTCCATTTTACTTGATATTCTTTGTTATTGTATACAGCAAACACTGAGTGAAGTCAAGACAGTGGCTTGTCTAGTTTCACCAAAGAAAACAGAGTGCGAATCCTGTATTCAGGTAATGATCTTCATTTGAATTTGAATGTTAATGAACAAAGCAAATTTGATTTGAGATTTCTTTTTGCACAGAGTCTTGGAACGTGGGTGACGCAGATTACAAGTCCAGTTTTCACCAGACAGTTGAGCACAGTTGCCAGCTGTTTGAGGAATTATCAATATCCAGTATTTTCCACGTGTGCTGATGCTCTCACGGTAAGACAAAGATATTTAAACTCTCGGGATAAATAATGCAGAAAATCATGAATGTGGTTTTCATGTCTGAAAAGGAAAATTTGTGTTTTTCATGTAATAATCATGTGAGATGGGCACCATTATATTATAGGTATATTATTCCTAACAGTGTGCAAGGCATCCATAAATTAAACAACAAGTTGAGGAGACTAAAGTTTCTGCTGAAGGACTTCTGAAAAATTTCAGAAAGTGAAATTGGTGACCTTGACCTCAAACTTCTTGGTAAATGAGTTGAAAGGATACTGAACTTCAAAGCAATGGAAATGTGTCATCACTACCTTGATTTTAAAAAGTCCTGTATCAAATAGCATTGTTTTTGCTCTTCTTTTTCATTTTTAATTTCCTTCACCTTCAAATGATTATGTTTCACTCCATTTAGGAATGTGTTGATGATGCCCACTCTCAAATGGGATATGACCATCCATCAATTAATCAGCAAATTCCAAGAATAAAAATGAATCAACCAAATTTAAAATTAATTACACCTTACATTAATCTGTGATATTCTATTGAAAGAACATTCAGAATAAAATATATCATGAGAGTAATATATATTTTTCTTTTAGCTACCATGTTGAATAACAAACTTTTAAAAGTCAAGTCATAATAGTTGGTATGGCATGATGGCTTCATAACCATAAGTAAAAGATTAATTTTCCTGCTCCTCACTTTTCAGTCCGGATCCCAACGGTGGTCGAATGGATACAAATGCGTGGTGAGTAAAAACAATGAAATCATTGCAGCCCAGCAGTCCACAACAAAGTCGACAGTGGCAACCACCACCACCACCAAGGCAACCAGTCCAGCAACAAATCCTCAGACTTCCACCCCCATGACTGTGAGCACAACCAAGACAGCTGTTACAAGTACAGCCAGCACAAGTCCCAGTTCCACAACAAAAACCAATGCTGTGACTTCCTCATCAAGCACTGCTAGTTCTACCACCACTACTACTACTACAAGCAAAGCAGCAGCAACAACTGCTACATCAGTGACAATGAGTACTAGTAAAGCAACAACATCTGATTCAACCCCAACATTCAGCACCAGCAAACTGTCAACAACAAACCCATCATCATCATCATCATCACCCTTCACTACAAGTCTATCAACTGGGACATCTATCACAACAAGCAAGCCAGTAACAACAGAACTAACACAGACCACCACAATAATAAGTACAGCTAAGACATCAACACCAGCAACCACTGTAACATCAACAGTGCAAACTACTAGTGGATTCTCAATCTCTACACCATCTTCAGCAACCACATCTACCCTAACTTCCCCAACACCAACAACTACTACTATTACTATTTCAACACCTACAAGTACCACTTCAACTACAACCAAGCTCACAACTACCAGTTCTATCACAACCACAGCATCAACAACAACAACAACAAATTCACAAACATCCCAAACTACACCATCATCATCATCATCAACAAGCTCAACTTCAAGCAGCAAAACAACTACTGTCCCACTGGAGGCAATTCATCCCCTGGCAAGACCTTTTATTGTTTTTGGGAAAATGTTTGGCTAATTGTGCAAAAGAGCTGTACATGGAATGCATGCATCAATTGATTGATGATGGGTTCCATGTTTTTGAAAAGACATAATTCTTGACATTTGGAAGCTGGATTGGATAATAAATTAACTTTGTGTAACATATTTGTGTGCTTGTGATTTGTAACATGGTTGAAAAAATGCACTCATAAAGCAGCATTACAATTTATGCTGTTTTTGAAAATTTCACATCTTCATTTTTGTTCTTTTGAAAGAAACAGTGGCACATTGTTTATACAGCAGCGCAGCAAAGTGCATATATACAGTTGAATAATTTTAGAAATTATTTTGGAAAGAAGTCAAACAAAAAGAAAGCAATTTAGAATTTACTCCCAGAAAGTCACCAAATGAAATGTCAATGATCAATTGCTGGTCCCCTGCTGAATCTAAGAACCTAGTGCAATCTAGACAAGGAACCAGCCTTGCATCCATGGGCATGGCAGAAAAATCATACAAATAGGGTGTCTGGTATGGTTTCCCACCAGCTTATTTTCAATTGTGGTCAGTAGACAGATTAAGCTGATGGTTTGACAATTCAAGATTTAAGGGAATTGGGGGGTAGCCTCAGGAATGTGCTCCAGGTGCCATGGCGCAAAAGACCCCTCAAATTAAGCATGAAGTTAAAGGGTATTTTGGAAAGGGGGACCATGACTTTTCTCCAAGTCTCAGGTATATGTAAGGAATACTAGATATGTTTAAATTCAAAGTTCACCAATTCTTTGAATGCTGTCTACATGACTTCAACTTATGAGGAATACAGTTTGGTTATTTATCCCGAAACCATGAGAATGGTACATATCTTCAGCACACATCTCCAGTGATTGCTGGTGTAAAAACAAATTGCCTTGACCTTGCCCCATGCAGTTCCAACATTTAATTAATATAATTTAAATGGAACTCCTGGTTGATGACAAGATGAATGTCATTTATGTTGTGCTTGAATTACTGTATCAGAGTAAATTATGTATATGCCCTTTTTGTTGTACTTGTGATAAATGGCATGGAATTTCAAGTGGATCATGAAAAAAATTATTGCAGTCCAGGGCTGAAGGTCCATGTTGTATGAACATGCTATTAGAAAATATTGATGACTATACAATATTACTGAAGTAAATGCAAGGTCACAAGAAACCTAGCATGGTTAGGGATGAACCTGGCATTAGATAATGAATATGGAGCAAAAACGGACCATGTGGGATAATCTGGTAGGAAACCATTCCTGTGACCTACAATAGCAGGACATGAATGCATTATGCATTGATTAATCGTCAAGGTCCTCCCCAGTAAATAGCTCCCGTCCTTGAGGGTTTGCTTTTCATTGAGCCAAAGACCTAAATTCCGCTATTTTGAACTTTTCGAGGCCAGTCCTCAACGCTATTTTGCATTCATGCTTAGAACGGTACAGTATTAAGTGCTGAGGAAGCAAAACGCAGAAACATCTCTGCATTATCGTCCTAAACATAATTTCATGACCAACTAACTTTTACAGTATTCTCATAAAGCATCGGAATGAATTCGAGCAATATGCATCACAATTTTCGTGAATTTGAGACAACGAAAAGAAGCTATAGCAAGTGACATCTACGTTCTGCGATTGCAACATGAACTATTCGAGCAGAGTTCGAAAACAGGTACCGAGCCACACAAAATAAAAAGGGATGAGGGAATCTTTTTCTGCGTCCTTTGTTTCAATTGTTAGAACATATTGTATTGACCCCTTACATGAGCTATACATTCTGTGAATAACAGCTCATCATTAGCCGTCATTATGAGCAATTGATATCCAAGTAAATTCAAGGTTTTCTGGCCATGATGAGTTCACCATACTGCTTATTTTGACCGAATCCTGCTTTTCACGCCCGAAATTCACGCAAGGGTAAAGTCACAATTACAGTACTGTACAAAAGTATAACATAGTTTCATGCATAATATAATTATGGGGTCGTCATCCAAGCAGACTTCATATGAAGCCGTCATTATATGCATATCTGAGTCCAGATAGCAAATATAAATATACTGTACAGAAGTGTTTCCAACCTTTTTGGGCTCACGGACCAGAAAATTGCCTTAAAATTTTTTGTGGACCAGCAAGGGGTCAAACATTTTCTGCAGACTGGCAAATGTTTGTAACATTTTTGCAGAAATCTTCATGGCAGGCATTTAAAAGGGCTTCTGCTTTAAAAAAAAATTAAGATCCAATGAAGCAGATGTATAGTGAAATGTTTTTTTTTAAATTAGAAAGCTGAGCTTGAAGAAAGGTTTGTCAGACTGAAAAAATTAACATAATTTCTCTCAGTATGTGTACATTCTTCTGAAGTGCAATTAAGAGAACAGCCAACTTATGTTTTCTGTAGATAATTTCAACTACCATTTGTTTTTACAAGGTTTCAGATGAAGATAAATAAGGCTTCATTGCTACTTTTCTCAATTTCCTATGATGCTGAAGATTTTCCACTAACCAGCAAAACACTTTTGCAGACTGGCGGCGGTCAGTGAAACCACTGCTGTTCAGTATATTCATACATGGAATTCAAACCAGGTCTAAGAAATTTTTATTTTATTTTATTTTTCCAAAGTACTGTATATAAAACTATGAGTGTATACGTTTCACGGAAAAGTTTCTCCAGCTCTTGAAAGCAAACGCAGAGAAAATTAGCATTTCGATCGAGAGACTCTTGAATATTTTATTAACGATCAAATGGTAATTAGATGCGAAATGCTGTGTTTTTTAAAAATAAAAATGAAGTCCCACGGAACTACATAAAATACACACTGCCATTATCGTGAAGCACCCAGTCAGCAAGAGCAAAAAAACAGCGGGAAACTAAATACCTGTTCTATATGCAGAATCGTAGCTTTTAAGTGTTATTGGGGGAACCACTTCTGAAAATTCAGTTGACCCCAAAGAATTTTGGTTCTTATTCCAAAAAAAATGCCAATTTTATTTTGGTTCATTTCGTTTTTTTTATTGTTATAGTGGACCCATATTCCAGTTGCCAATACATACAGGGTGTGGGGAAAAGTCAATTTTCGCCCAGAAATTTGAAAAAGGGACATTCGTTTTTCAAAACAAAGTCATAGAAAAGGCCCAACATTTAAACACAGACTCAACATTTGGACATTCCATGACAAATTGCCAATAAGCTTCAGGACAAGTGATTTTTATCAGACAGAAGTGCAAGAACCAGATATTTCACAACCCAAGATGTATGCAAGATAATTAAAAAAAATTACCTACAGCACAGCAGGACTTCCTTCTGTCTTTGTGACTTGGATGTTATTTTCACACATGCCAACATTTCAATGAACTGTACAGCAGTATACTACAGTATTCAATTCTCCAAATGTTATTATTGGGTAGAAAAGATATTCACTGAATCAAATTCAAGTGGCAAACATTTTTTTTTTCATCAAGATCTGAAAAATATTTTTTCCATAAAACACCAATTAAAATTTAAATAATTTAAGTCTATGGAAAAACAAGACTTGACTTAACAATTCAACTTAGGGACACTCTTGAGGCAATTATGTCCACATCTGGGGGTCTCAGTGTACTCTGTTTGTTCTGTATTTTTTCATAGTTATTTTGCGCGGCAGAAGTATAGTAAGGCTTGGACCACAAAAAAGGGGGCTTATACACTTGAAGAAGCGTCAATGAAAAGCAGAGCATAGAATATTGTTTATCTGCAGGGTACTTATTTAACAAGCATTTTATTGGGCCTTCCTGAATTACACATTGATTAATTTAAATTTGCCTGATGGTTGGCAGGGGTAAGCTTCTGGAGTTTTCCTCCATCTTAAGAGATATTTCTGAAGTACAGTGAGACCCCAAGATGTGGATGCAATTTGTGTATTATGAGTGTCCTTCAGTTGAAATGTCCATAAATTGAGTTTCATTTTCCCATAGACTTACAGTATATAATTTTTAATTTGTGTTTTGTGGTAGAATTGTCCATCAGGATTTATTAAAATATAAGAATATTTGGAGCAGTGAACACTTCAGAGTGCATTGAAATGGTGGAATCTGTAAAAATAGCATTCAAGTCACAAAGAGAGATGGAAGTCCCTCTATGCAGGTGGTAATTTTTTAATTAACTGAATGGATGGGAAAGTAATGGGAAAAATACCAAAGAATTTTTCTTGCATAGATCTTAGGGCTGGAAACATCTGTTTCTTGCAATTAAGCCTAATAAAAGTCAATTTTCCCAAAAAATGAATTGGCAATTTTGTCACACAATGTCCTCATGTCAAGTCAGTGTCCCTATGTTGGGCCTTTTTTTATAATTTTTGCTATTGAAACATAAATTTCCCTATGCAAATTTCCTCCCCATTTTGAGGTGTCTGCATGTGGGGGTCTCACTTTATACAGTATAATGGGTGTCATACAAGCCAGGCAATCATCATCCACTACCATGGCATCCCGCAAAGTAATCAAGCCCATGAAAAAACAATATACATGCCTATATTCATACACATAATATAAAATGGAGGAAAACCATGGCGAATGAATTGCCTGAGTCGCCAGTACACTTGATGGGTGCCGTCAGAGTGGCAGGTTTTTCCTCTCGTCATTTCCTTTCACACTTTTTTTTCATCTTTTTGCCATGAAATTTTGGTGTGATTTGTAGGGAATTTGAAAGAAAGGGATAAAGAAGGAGAGCAAAGGAAGAAATTGGATTGCATATTTGAGATAAAAAAAAAGAAAGAACTCAAGTGCGATATCATGAGTTTTTGCGATTCGAACCAAAAGTTTTCATTTCCATTCCTGCTGCTTCTTTTTCTGCTCGTCGATTTTTCCCATCAGGTGAGAGAAAAAGAAAAGGATAATTGTTTTCTTTGAAGAATTATATTACATTTTTATAAAATAATTGAATGTAGAATTGAAATTCTAACGAAAATTCTTAACTTTCCACTCATAATTCGCTGAACAATTCAAAACATTCATGCCAGCAGATATTTAGCTTAAAATCATTTTCTAAATCACTCTTTATCGCAGTTTAGGACGTTGAAAAACACCCCAATTGAACCTTTACTCTTGAAAAAAAACGTCAAAACTACAGATTGTCAATGATTTCAATTTTATTCCAAGTTTAAAATGATCTGAACTGTTAACATTTCCCATAAATCACGATATTTGGGATTAAAAGCCGCAAATCTTGTTCTTATCTTTCTGATTAAAGCTGAGTATCACGCGCATTATAAGAATAAGATACTTTATTCTATTATATTTGATATTTTTTGTTATTGTATACAGCAAACACTGAGTGAAGTCAAGACAGTGGCTTGTCTAGTTTCACCAAAGAAAACAGAGTGCAAATCCTGTATTCAGGTAATGATCTTCATTTAAATTTGAATGTTAATGAAGGAAGCAAATTTGATTTGAGATTTATTTTTGCACAGAGTCTTGGAAAGTGGGTGAGGCAGATCACAAGTCCAGTTTTCACCAGACAGTTGAGCACAGTTGCAAGCTGTTTAGGGTATTATCAATATGGAATATTTTCCACATGTGCTGCTGCTCTCATGGTAAGACAAAGACATTTAAACTCTCAGGATAATTAATGCAGAAAATCATGAATGTGGTTTTCATGTCTAAAAAGGAACATTTTTGTTTCTGATGTAATTCTCATGTGAGATTGGCACCATTATATTACCGATATTTTATTACTAACAGAGTGCCGGGCATCCATAAATTAAAGAACAAGGGGAGGAAACTAAAGTTTCTGTTGAATACAGGACTTCTGAAAAATTACAGAAAATAAAATTGGTGACCTTGACCTCAAACTTCTTGGTAAATGAGTTGAAAGGATACTGAACTTCAAAGCATTGGAACATGTGTCATCACTCACTTGATTTTTAAAAGTACTGCATCAAATTACATTGTTTTTGCTCTTCTTTTTTACTTTTCATTTCCTTCACCTTCAAAAAATTATGTTTCATTGTATTTAGGAATGTGTTGATGATGTCTGCTCTCAAATGGGATATGACCATCCAGCAAGTACTGTAATTGGCAAATTCCAAGAATAAAAACAATGCGTCCAAATTTGAAATTAAATACCCCCTACATTAATCTGTGAAATTCTATTTGAAGAACATTCAGAACAAAATATGTCATTAAAGTAATATACAGTATATTTTTTCTTTTAGCTACCATGTTGAATACAAAACTTTAAATGTCAAGTCATAATAGTTGGTATGACTTGATGGTGTCATAACAATAAGTACAAGATTATTTCTCCTGCTCACCTCTTTTCAGTCTGGATCCCAAAGGTGGTCAAATGGATACAAATGCATGATGAGCAAAAACTATGAAATCATTTCAGCCCAGACCACAACAAAGTCAACAGTGGCAACCAGTCCAGCAACAAATCCTGAGACTTTCACCCCTACAACTGTGAGCACAACTAAGACAGCTGTTATAAGTACAGCCAGCACAAGTCTCAGGTCCACAACAAAAACCAATGCTGTGGTTTCCTCATCAAGCACTGCTAGTTCTACCACCACTCCTACTACTGCAGTTGAACCTCTCTAAGTCAAATTTCAAGGACCAGTAAAAAAATCAACTCATGGAGGTTTGAACTTAAGGAAGGTTTTGGGGACTTCAAAGAAAAACTTTGTTGAGGGTTGTTTCATAAGTCTTGCAAATTTTAGATGTAAACCCAATATGAAGACTCGACAATTAGATTTTTTTAATTTCATAGCCACATAATCTGGCAATACTTGAGTGCAGTTTAACATACAGTTGAACCTGTGTAAGTCAAATTATTATGGACCAGGAAACAATTTGACTTAGGGAGGTTTTGATTTTTGGAGGTTGCCAGTTGATGAAACAAACACTTTTGTTTTCAGGAGAAGCAAAAAAAAGTGTGGGAAATCATAAATGAGGATATTCTGGACCTAAACTTGCTCCTTAATGAGTTTACACCTTGCTCAACTTGGAGGCAGGGGTTCATACGCTATATTTGTCTTTAACTTCTTTTGAAGATCCATAAAATTATTTCGTCTAATCATTTTCTCTTCCACATTTTAATGATATAATAACCAGAAGGCCTCAGAAAAGTTGACTTACAGAGGCTTTTAAGAAAATACTTTAAGTTAGGGAGGTTTTTAATGTATTGATTCTAAGTGAATTTGGACAGGGACTTCAAAAAATTTGAATTAAGGAGGAATTTGACTTAGGGAGGTTTGACTTATCAAGGTTCACCTGTGCTATCCACGAATTTCAATGCATCTTTCATGTGATAAATGCAATGATCAAAACAGTGCCAAAAATCAAGTTCAATTTTTTTATTAACCTGATCTTTGCAGAAGGCAGAAATGAGACTGTATTGCTGTTTTAAAAGTGAATCTTTTCCAGGTTGTTCTTCACTGTTAGGAACAGCCAGAAATAACAGGGTGCATGAACAACTAACATAACTAAGTTTTTATAAATCCAAAAAACAAAATGCAGAAACTAAACTCAACACTATTACATTATACTTGATCTTTTGTTGTTGTTGTAAATAGCAAACACTGAGTGAAGTCAAGACAGTGGCTTGTCTAGTTTCACAAAAGAAAGCAGAGTGCGAATCCTGTATTCAGGTAATGATCTTCATTTGAATTTGAATGTTAATGAACAAAGTAAATTTGATTTGAGATTTATTTTTGCACAGAGTCTTGGAAAGTGGGTGACGCAGATCACAAGTCCAGTTTTCACCAGACAGTTGAGCACAGTTGCCAGCTGTTTAAGAAATTATCAATATGGAGTATTTCGCATATGTGCTACTGCTCTCACGGTAAGACATTTAAACTCTCAGGATAATTATTGTTGAAAATACTGAATGAGGTTTCCATGTCTAAAAAGGAACTTTTTTGTTTTTGATGTAATCCTCATGTGAGATGGGCACAATTATATTACAGGCATTTTATTACTATCAAATAAGTGAGAGGCATCTATAAATAAAATAATTGAGTTGAGGAAACTAATGTTTCTGTTGAAGAACTTTTGAAAGATTCCAGAAAGTGAAATTGGTGACCTTGACTTCAAACTTCTTGGTAAGTAAGTAGAAAGGATATTGAAGTTCAAAGCAATGGTACAAGTGTCATCACCATCTTGATTTTAAAAAGTACTGTATCAAATCAAATTGTTTTGCTCTTCTTTGTTACTTGTCATTTCCTTCACATTCAAAAAATTATGTTTCACTGCATTTAGGAATGTGTTGATGATGCCCACTCTCAAATGGGATATGACTATCCAGCAAGTAATTGACAATTTTCAAGAATAAAAACAAATCGACCAAACTTTGAATTAATTACCCCATACATTAATCTGTGAAATTTTATTTGAAGAACATTCAGAACAAAATATGTCAATAAAGTAATATATATTTTTTCTTTTAGCTACCATGTTGAATACAAAACTTTTAAATGTCAAGTCATAATAGTTGGTATGACTTGATGGTGTCATAAAAATAAGTACAAGATTATTTCTCCTGCTCACCTCTTTTCAGTCTGGATCCCAAAGGTGGTCAAATGGATACAAATGCATGGTGAGCAAAAACAATGAAATCATTGCAGCCCAGCAGTCCACAACAAAGTCAACAGTGGCAACCAGTCCAGCAACAAATCCTCAGACTTTCACCCCTACAACTGTGAGCACAACTAAGACAGCTGTTATAAGTACAGCCAGCGCAAGTTCCAGTTCCACAACAAAAACCAATGCTGTGGTTTCCTCATCAAGCACTGCTTGATCAACACAAAGAACCACTGTAACATCAACAGTGCAAACTACTAGTGGAGTCTCAATCTCTACACTATGTTCAACAACCACATCTACCCTAACTTCACCAACACCAACAACTACTACAGTACTACTATTACTATTGCAACCCCTGCAAGTACCACTTCAACTACAACCAAGCTCACAACTACCAGTTCTACCAAAATCATAGCAACAACAACAAAAAATTCACAAACATCCCAAACTACACTTTCATCATCATCACCATCAACAAGCTCAACTTCAAGCAGCTAAACAACAACTGTCCCACTGGAAGCAATTCATCCCCTGGCCAGACCTTTTATTGTTTTTGGGGAAATGTTTGGCTAATATTGTGCAAAAGAGCTGTATATGCGCAATACATGCATCAATTGATTGATGATAGCTTGCATGTTTTGAAAAGCTATAATTCTTGACAGTTTGGAGCTGGATTGGATAATAAATTTACTTGGTGTAATATATTTGTGTGGTCATGATTTGTAACATGGTTGAAAATAAAAATAAAAAAATTAATGGAATGACCGTCTCAAAAATTTGAAGCATTGAAACTCAGCATAAAAGAAAACCTTTTCCAGCTTTTTGAAAATAAATTTAAACTTCTACACATGGCCTTTGTAACTGTATGAGTAAGATCAATCATTGATTTTATTTATTGTTCTTTTTTAAATCCATGAAAAAATCTTAGTTCTTCCATTAAAATATAAAATAAATATTGCAAAATCATCTGGACTTGAAATAAATACGCGTTTACGTTTCTGCACAAAAATGTTTTCCTATCTTTAATTATTTATCCATGATAATACTGTATAGTGTATTTTGATACTCTGAAAATATTGTTAGTGGGAGGTCACATCATTTTTCAAATAATTTTGCATCCGTTGAATCCATCTTTCCCTGGTTATTTGTCAAATTTGTTTAAAGTACCGCCTGTACAAAAGAATATCGTATTTGTTTCAAAATATGACTGGAATCCCATATACCGCAGACTTGATGTGGCATTTCCAGGGTTATTTTCAAATGAAAAGTTGGAAAATTAAAGTAAGTTTGGTTTTCCAAAAAGATTTCTTGATTCTCAAGCCTGACCTCGTGTTATTCATGATTTCATATTAGGACACATTTGATGTTCTGGGAATTCACTTTTCAACGCTTCCCCGGGGGAAACTGAAAGTTTTAAAGCCCTCGAACTTTTTTATGCACCTCTAAATGCAAATTCGAACAATATTCAGCAGAAACACACAATGTGACACTTTCCCAGGAAGAACGAAGCGAAGCGAACGCAGAATTATTCCACCTCAAACTTTTTCCGTCGCCTATTCGTACGTATTTCAGACCTTGCTATTTTCCTGCTGACAGTTGAATTAATTTGAAATAAAAGGGAATACAATTGTGCATCAAACACACATCAATATACAATATAATATTTCTTTTAGAAAAAATTATTCAATTTTTTTCAGGAAGAAATCCCCAGAAGTTCGCTGATTCTCGAGACAATAAATTCGGTCTTCCCTGATGACGAGGTGAGAAGTCCAATTTAGTTTATTTTTCCGCGCTGTCTGAGGTGGTATTTTTGCGGATTTAATCAGCAGGATCATTTCGGGATCATTTCCATGAATGAGCTAATTAATATAGATCACCTCGCTCAATTACACAGAGCGAGGTGATGAGGGAAAATAAGCCGAGAGATTTACTTGCGGGGCGACGCAGCTGAGCGCGTTGATCCGCAAACACGCCGGTATACTCAATTTTGTCGGACTGATGTCCTACAAAAAATGATGAACATTTAAAGTTTAAATGATTGAAAAGTTAATGAATTTTGATGAGAGTACAGACTCCAGAAAAAAAAATTACCGACTGCCACCGAAGACGGCTAAAAAATATTTTATTGAATATTTTTGGTTATTATTGCAAAAGTCTCCAAAAGAAAATTTAGTTTTTTTTGTCCTCCAAACCTCTATAGGGACTTCTGCATGGCATGTACTCAAGATCTTTCTTCATAACTCTTGTGCAGCAAAATCAGGATATTTTTGCAACATTTTGTCCCCTCGAGGAGTGAAAAAAAAGTTTTAATCAAGGCTGTGGACATCCTATTTTATATGCCTTCCAGGTAGGCATGTTTCCCCTCAAATCACTGGTGTGCAAAATGTTGTCAAATTAAAAGATTCTTTTTCTGAATAATAAGAGTAAGACAAAGAAGCTATGCATTAATCTTCAGTGATTTAAAATGAAGAAATGAGTGTTCATATTTTTTAAATTTTGAATGAGTCATGAAAACAATGCCCAAATTTGAAACAAATAGCTTTTCTTGTACATCTTTGAATTATAAAGCAGAATCTCATTTAAACAGATCTCAATACTGTATAAAAATTCAATTTCTGACAGAAATGAATGTGCCTGGATTTTTGCTATGTTACACAACCTTGAGTAAGACACGCACCAGGGTTTTTCAATCAGGAATTTTTGTAAAATCTTATCTCCATGTAAGACATGCACCCCATTTTTAGAGAGTCTAAAACCACAATATTTCAAAGATAAGAGTACCCAAATTTGAATTTAGACATGAATTTCACAATTTTCAAATGTTTCCAATAAATAAATAAGTGTTTATGTTCAACTTGGACTAAAATTTATGCTTAGAAGCATGTGCAGTTTAATGCACAACACAAATTTTGAAACTTGAAAAAAAATAATACTCTACCTGTAAATGATAAGCAACCCCTTCTTTCCTCTCAAATTTGGGGGAAAATGAGCATTTGTTATCAAGTAAATGCAATAGTAGGATCCCTACTCATTCACCAGGATTCCTACTGCAGCAAATTTCAGTTTGACCCAAGGTTACTGAAATGCACCCAGGTTGAGGAGGCCTATGTTGGGAAAAATCTGGGAGGCACATTTTCCTCTGTTTTAAATATTTTCCCACACAAATCCTATGCCAGGAATGCCGGAAAAAAGCCACCCACTAATGGATTTTTTTATTTTCATTGAAAATTTACTGTGGGATTGTAAAAAAAAACTAAGACTTTTTCCCAACTCACGCCTTGGTACAAAAGCAGGTTTTTTTCATTCCCAGTGCCCAGTGGCACAAAATTTTGCAAAAATGTCCTGACTTTGCTGCACATGGGTTAAAAATCCCCACCAGCAGTGTGATCAAGGATCAGAAAAGAATAAAAATAAAAATGCAGGCAATCAGCCTTTTGAAGGCCAAGAACGCATATTCAGGAGATTTCCTTGAATATATGTTCCTAGTTTTTCAATAATTTATTTCATGATCTTCAGCAGAGTTGAATGCCAAGAATAAGAAATACAATGCACAAGACAGATTTGAATAATAGCATAACAGGAGTAACACACATTTGAGCACACAAATCAAAAGGAATAAAAAAAGATAAAAAAAATAATTTTTGAGAGTTCAGGACAGACTGAGACTCTTGAAATCGAATTATTTTCTATTTTTTATTGAGGAGGAAACCTTCATTGGTTTCCTCTCTTGTTTTCTCCTCAACAAGCAGTGTGTCCCAGGTAAACCCAAAATGACCCCGTTCTCCATCTCTTTCTTCCCAAGGCGGCAAAAATTCAGGAATGAAGACAGCCTCACAAAGGGGAAGTCGAGAACCAGGGCCGCCCACCCACCACCTCCACTTCCACCTCAACCACCACCACCACCACCACCACCACCACCAGGACCAGGACGGATGAGTGAGTTTCGCGTCCTGCTCACCAAGGCGTGTCATATATATATATATTTGCTTCTTCCTCCTGATGTGGACACCATCCACCGGCGCCTCCTCCCCATATCGCGATGATCCGCCCTAACCGAATTAGCCGTAATCTCGGGGCCGCCGCGGGATCAATACAATCACCGGCAGAAAGTTATCGGGCCACGGGGCGTCCAGCACTATGGGATGCCCTGGCATTTCCCGTAAATATATAGATGTGCGAGTGTCTCTCTCTCTGGTCTATCTGGCAAGCTCTATATAGCTATCTTTCTACCTATCTGCTTCCTGTACACTATATACACACATACTGGCAGCACGTTATATGTGGTATAGTGCTGTTGTTGGACAAACATGCCCCGAGGCTGAGAGAGAGAGAGAGAGGGGAAGAACTTGACACCCGATGAGAACCGAAACCCACAGGAGCAGGGACAAAGGGATATGACTGTCTATATATGGAGGTTTATATTCAGAGGCACCTCGGATAATGGACACTTCGGGTCGTGGATTTATTTATTTATTTATTTTTATTCAAGGGACTCACGATGAGAGGGACAATTTTTTTTAACGCCAATGTATATACAGTACAGTGAATCCTGCTTTGAATAAATGGATTGCTTAAAAGTGTTTGATGTGGTCGTTTGAAAAAGCAAAAATTCCTTTGGAAAATGTGACATAAATTCCAAGTGACTGGAGATTTTCATTGATATCTTTGATTGCGTCGAGGAAAACGTTTCCCACTAGTTTTAACTGGGTTTAGAAGTTTTTCTTTCTCAAGTCAAGTGCCATGGATTTTTGGATTATTTTTTTAATTTTAATTTTTTTTAACACAAGAACGATACATTTTAAGCATATATATAGTAATAGAGACTGTGCACCCATATGGGTATTATAATTTTTTCTCTTGACTTTTAGGAAAGTTTAAAAAGTCCAGATAATAAGTTTTTTGTGCGGGATAATTTCCAACTTTATTTTACTCCTATGTTGAAAAAAATAGCTTTGGCTGTGATTGTATCTGAGGTGATTTAATTATTCACGCTTGTATCAACTGGTGAAGAAGGTACAAATGACATTTTCATGTTGAAAATGTTGTCACAAACAAAAAAAAATTTAGGCTCTATCAAAGGAAATTTGAAAATGAATTCATTATTAGCAAACAGTTTTGAAATTTTGGCCATGAAGTAATTTGCATAAGGTAACCTACCAAATAATTGAAGCCAAATAATTCCCCCAACTCAAAAACTTTCCACATTGAGTTTTTGGAGTCCTTTCAAATTAAACTTGAAGAATTTCAACTGTAAAACCCTACTTTTCTGTAAATTCTCTCACAAAATCTTTCATATTACATCATGGTGTACTCTCTTTTTAAAATTTAATTTTTTATGTATAACAAATTTATTTTTGGTCCCTAATGTCATAGGGATTCTCTGAAATCAATTTTTCCCCTTGAGTTTTGTTGTGGAAAGAGAGTCCACCTATCCACCTGAATGTGTCTTCAGTGCTGATTTTAGGCTTTAACGCTTGGACATCAGAGGCTTCATGGCCATTGTGCAGAAAAGTCAGGATTTTTTGGGGGTATTTCAGTTTGACCCAAGGTCACTTAAATGCAACCAGTTTGGGAAGACATAAGTTGGAAAAAATCTGAAAAGGGTGAATCCTTTTGTATTCCAAAATCTTTGATGCTAATCCTATGCAAGGAATTCCTGGAAAAAAAGCCACCCATAGAGAGGCATCTTTTAAGGCAAATTTTTCTGCAGGACTAAAAAAATTGTTATCCAATAAAATAATATACACAAGGATATATAAAATATTAGATAATATAATTTTTCAAAGTACTCAACAATTACAAATACAGAGTTTGAAATAAGGAAGTCTTGCTAAAATCTTTACAAGGATTCCTGAGAAATAACCACGTTGAGGTTTGGAAAATTTCTGAGGCTTGCTCAGGAAAATCAGGGGTTTATATAAACTTGACAGGAATCAAGGATAACCAAGATTTTGTACTTGTTCCCAACTTAGGCATCAATGCAAAAATCAAAAAATTTTTTTTTTTACATTTTCAGTGCTCATGGGCACAAAATTTCAGCAAAAATATCCCAACTCTGTCACACAAGGGTTAAAGAATCAAGTGCCCATCAGAGTGCCAAAGGGCTACCAGAGTGGTTGCTGTTTGCTGCCCCAGCATCACCACACCAGGGCCACCATGGAGCCACCCCCAAGGGGGCAGCCATCGCGGTGTCCTCTCTGGGGCGAGTTGCCCACCCGAGACCTGATGGCATACAGAGCAGAGCCGCGGGCCGCATTGCTCATCAATGCGCCATTCCGACGCCCCTTGGCTGATTATATGGCGAAGAGGCTTGGCAGCACACAGCACCGCGGGCGCCGCCATGTTTTCTTTTTTTTTTTTACTCACAGAGCCGGAGTTATATAGCTCCAAGTGAGCGATCTCTCTTGTTTCCAGCCACGAAGCCTTATGATGATTGATAATTAATGTTTTACAGTTTTTTCACATTTTATTTCTCATTCTCAGGAATATATTGAAGACTTTATTTAAATCCTGAGTCGATTTTTTTTAAGTATTCAGCATAAGATTCAAAATTGCTCTTCAGCAGAAGTGCAGGTATCCCACGCAATAAACAAGTTAATCAAGAGTAAATATAACTCGAGTTGATAATGATACAACTTATGCATTTAAACTTGAAGCCTTGCTTTAAACATTTTAAGAATTTAAAAATGTGAATCACTCCTGTATCATGAGCCCTTTTCCCCACAAAAATTGGCAATAAGTATTTGGCGTGGATCATGAAAAAACTGACTATTATGGGTACATTCTTTTGTGTGCATCTTTCATTGTTATTTTTGAAAGAACAAAGAATAAGCAAATGAAGCATTTTCTTCAATTTTTCTGCAAGATTTATGCGGGAAAGTGGAGTTTTTAAAATACACACGTTATAAAATATTTCTGCTTGAGGTGGGAAACGTTTTAATTTGTCAATATAAAGTCCTAATGCCTCTCAAGTTTGTTAATTCGTAGAGAAATAAATTTTAGCACGGGGAATACTCATTCTAGCCATCAAGAGGAAACATTAAAGTCAAAATTATTCCAAATAAAATTGTCGGAATTATTTTGCATCTGGAAAATCCGAATTTATGGTTCACTTTGGGCAATGAAAGCACATTGATGTGAAAATTGCAATTCAATTATTAATCTCATGACAGTTACACAATACAAATAATTGAAATAAAAATATGTATGCTATATGTATATGTATGTATGTCTTTTTTCGGGACTCGAAGTTGGAACATGTATATATTTAGTAATTTACAACAGAGAGGATTCACCTTCCCTAATTCAAACCTGCAAACCTCCCTGATTAACTGGGGAATCTCCTGGCTATAAATTGAACCTCCTCAAGTTAAAACTTCTCAGTTGTAACATTTCTTAATCACATTTACCATTGTGTTTTTGAGATTGGACTGGGTTAATTCCAGAGCAAATAATCACAAAAATGTGAATGATTATTGAAATGAATTCCACTAAGGATTCAGCAACTTTATGCATGTAATCTAATGAGACCCCAATATGTAAACACCCCAAGATATGGACAATTCAACTTAGGGACACTTGAAAATCAGGCCCAACATCTGGACATTGGCTTGAATTACAAACACTTCTTTGAAATTTTCCAAGGAAATCAAAGCATTTTCTTTTTTCATTTTAATATCTTTCAAATAGATCAAGCTTTTTATATTCACAAAAACTGAAAAATATTTCAAGTAAATTTGCTCTAATTCATAATCAAAAGCAAGCTGATTTTGTGCTTTTCTCAGAGTTTCTTTTCATCATGTGCATATAGGATAAATAATAAGGCTTGCTAGAGTAAGTACATATTCTAGCAAGACTTATAATTGTTTTTCTTTGATTTTTGATTTCCTTTTGATACCAAAAGATCAGATTCTATGTGGTTGTTCTGCGCTGTTGTTTTTTACAACTTGAAGCTGAGGGGAAACAATTTTTATTATTTCTTTCAGAGGACTTATTTTTAATTTTTAACAAAAAGGAGAACCCATTAAATACATTAGCATTGAAGTCTAAGGGAAAATGAGACTCAATGTGGGGACATTCCATCATCAGGACACTCTTGATGCACAAACTATGTCCGCATCTTGGGGTCTCACTGCACTTTATGAAAAATTAACACTTTTAACCCTTGGGTGGCAAAGTTGGACTATTTTTGCAAAATTTTGTTGCACCTCAGAGAAGTGAAGAAAAAAATGTCAACAGGGGGTTAAGGGCAAAGTTGGGAAAAATCCCAATGTTTTTTTCCCTGTGCACAGAAAATGTTTGCAGGAAAATTAAAAAAAAAGCTCAGTTATGCAACAAGCTTTTTTTGGATTAATCCCAACTATGCCTCAGCCCACCTGGAAGGGGTTTCCTGAGCTTTGAAAAACTGAAAATGCGGGAGGATACAAAAATAATCAAACTCTGTCCTGCTATGGGAAAGAACCCTCTGCCAACCAAGGGCTAATAATCAGATCAGAAAATAAGTTTCCTTCATTAAGCTACACAAATCAGGCCATATATTCCATTACTGATGATCAAGACACACTGTGGTACAATTTCTTGAGTCCCTTCAAATTCCACTTCAAAAGGTTCAACTGCAGTATTGCCACTGTAATGAAAGTTTTAGAACATCATCTTTAAATGGCCGTGTTGATCAGTGCATGACAGGTTTTTCATCAAGAGAATAAAGGCTAAAATTGGCCAATTCTGGACCCCCCTCCCAGAAAAAAAAAAAAAACTTTTCCAAGTGCCCCCCCCCCCCCTATATCGCTGTAATTCTTGGTGGAAAGAAGGTAAAGAGTATATGAAGAAAGGGCAGGGATGAACAGTGCGGAAACGGGCCGGGTAACCAGGTTATCCCTGCACCCCAGGGGGGGACCTCGGAAAAACCTCTGCAATTACCAAATTGTGTTAACTGATCCCTGCAGGAATCAGCGGGCAGGGAGCTGCGGGCTGATTGCCCCGGAAGCTGGCGAAAAGGTTCCAGGCAGCAACCCTGGCCCACAGGGCCTCCCCTCCGCCTGGGATTTGCATGGGTTCCCTATATATATATATATACAGTACATAGGCGCGCATTGGAAGGTAGGCACACTGGGTGCTGAGAAAAAGAGACAAACGTTCAAAACGCATTGCAATATAGAAATCTCACTGATAAAAATATGTTGATAATGTACTATACAGGAAAAATGTTGCAAATGGAAACAGCTAAAATTCAAAATGTAATAACATTTTTTGTTGATTTTTGTACAATTTTCAAAAATGTTTTTACATTTTTGGTTGTAATTCTGTCAAGTTTTCAAATTTTGGCATGATCAAGATAGGGAAATTTAGAAGACATATTTGCGCATGCAATGCTGTAAAGTATCTGAAAATTGGTTCTGAATTCAATTTATGACAAATTTCCAAAGTTTAGTAATGGGGAAATATTTTTGGAAATTTGGAACAAATTAAAATTTTTGACATGTATGTCTATGGCAGATCTCATTTTGGTTAATGCACCCCCCAGTTACCAAACCAGTTTGTGGAACAAATTAAGTTTGTTAACCAGGGGATAACTATAGTTGGGAAGAAATGCTTCTTCAGCAGGTTCAGCATGTGGCATAGCCAGCATGCTGTTATTACAGGTGGTGCCCAACAATTTGACCCTAATCCATTGCCGGGTAAGGGTTGAATTGTGAAGTGGTCAAATTGCAAGACAATGTCAAATTTCACATTTTCTACATCACATTTGACATATTTTTGGGTCTCTTTGCAGGTCAAATTGTGGGACAAAAGGTCAAATTGCAAGTCGACGTCCCAGCAAATTCAACCATCAAATTGCAGGGTTGTTGTATTGCGCAACATCAAATTGCAAGGTACCACCTGTACAGTCTTACTAAAACAAAATCATAACTAAGGGTTTTTCTAGTTTTCAGTAAATTAATAGTTTTGTTTTACCAACATGTTACCAAATTTGCTTTACAGAGGTGCTTCATACAATGATCCTGTCCATTTTTAATGAGTGTTTTGAATTCATTACAATGAAGTATTGAGGTACATCAACGTTTTGCCTGAAAAGTGCATGTCATATAACTTAACAGTGTGCTTGAAAACTTGAGGAAATTCAAATATATATTTAAAAAAGTTCTTGCCTAAAAAACATGGTGTAAACTGAATGCTTGAAAAAGAACATTACAAGAGGGAGAATTTATCTTTCCATTTTCTTTAAAATTTGGGCAATTATTTTTCATTCTTTGGCAATACAGTATAGAAAGCTGTAGATTTTTTAATTCGCCGCTGTATTTTAAATGCATTTTCCCACAAAAACATTCGGGGGAAAAATACAGCATTTTACTGTACTGTCGGTCAACTCACAGAAGTTTTATCTACCATATGTAAGCATAACACCGAATTTTTGGAATATTTTTCTATCCTATATAAAGAATCGGTTGTCTAAATTAATGTCAGTGTGTTCATTTATTTTTTTTTACTCTCGCAAGTCTCGGCACAAAAAAATTATTCACCGAAGAGGGCGATACAATTTTCGACAAAAAAGAGCCTCATAAAGTCCCTAAAAAATAAGAAGTAAATTAGCTGCATCGTCAGCCATTCTGACACTTGATCCAGGCAAATGAGAAAATTATATGCAACATTTTAAAAAATTTATTCGCATTAAAAATAAGTTGACATAAATTTTCTGAGCAGACTTGACATTCAGAATTTCCAAGAATAAACGCAGAATCTTGTCACGAAAATTGAAGCCACCGGGATAAAAAGTTTTGTCATAAGAACCAAACACGTTTTACGCAGGAATTGAATGATGAATTGCAACAACATTTCGGCTCATTTTTGGTCAAAGGCCCCAAAAAAAAAAAAAGAATTCGTTGCGAGCAATAACCCGTCATGACTAGATTCATTGTACTGTATAAAGATATATAACCCACTCAATGAAATTTTAATCACTTCAGAGCAGGAAAGCACAAATTGCCTACAAAAATAAAAGAAAATAGAATACAGCATAGATTTGGGTTGGGTGGGAAAAGGGGGTTTGGTTGTGGAAATATTGAGTGAACCTTGTGAACGCTGAAAAGCGGCAAATAAAGTGTTCTGTTCATTCATTCATATATAATCTACCACAGTACTTTAAAAATAATCATAATAATAATAAACCGCACATGAGCACCCCGAGTTTCAGCCGCTTCAATCCAACCGCACAAATTTGCATGACGGTGCGGGAAACGCATGTTAAAACTGCCTTCCGACACAGCAAAAGGCAGAGAGATCCAGGTTTTCATGGCCCAACTGCTGCTGCTGTGGTAAAAAGGAAGGGGGGTTCTAGCAGGGAAATCGAGTTACATTCCTGTTCCAGAATACCCGGGTTCTTCATCGTTCCCGTCTCTCTCTTGTTCCTGGGTTTGTGCTGAATTGGGAATGAGGCTGGGATTATGTGCGAATCAAAAGGGCGTTTGCTGGTGATCACAGCAAACGGCGCAATTGGGGCAATGGAGAAGGACCAGATCTATATATATATCCCTTTGCCTTGATCTGCTCTTTCCTTGGATTCTTTCTTCCTCTCTATTCTCTCTTCTATGTGTCCCTCATTCTTGAAATATTCCTTGAAAATTGTTTAACGCAACAAAATGTTTCAGAAAAAAAGTAATGCACAGTTGAACCTCTTCAAGTCAAATTTCTAGGGACCAGGATGAAAAAAATTTGACTTATGGAGGTTTTGAGTAAAGGAAACAAACATTTTTGTTGTGAGGAAAAGTAAAAAAAAATTGTGGGAAATTGTAGATGAGGATATTCAGGGCCTAAACTTGAAGGTTCAAAAATTAGAATTTTTAAAAAATTGCATAGCCACATCATCTGGCAAAATTTGAGTGCAGTTTAACATGCAGTTGAACCTCTGTAAGTCAAATTTCTATGGACCAGGAAAAATTTTGACTTAGGGAGGTTTTGATTTTTGGAGTTTGCCAGTTGATGAAACAAACACTTTTGTTGTGAGGAGAAGTGAAAAAAGTGTGGGAAATCATAAATGAGGATATTCTGGACCTAAACTTGCTTCTTAATGAGTTTACACCTTGCTGAACTTGGAGGCAGGGGTTCATTTGCTATATATTTGTCTTTCACTTCCTTTCAAGATCCATCAAATTATTTGTTTTAATCATTTTCTCTTCCATATGTCAAGGAAATAATAACCTGAAAGCCTCAGAAAAGTTGACTTACAGAGGTTTTTCAGAAAAATACTTTGAATTACAGAGGTTTTTAATGCATTGTTTCTAAGAGAATCCAGGCTGGGACTTGAAAAAAATTTGAGTTATGGAGGCATTCAATTTAGGGAGGTTTGACTTAGCAAAGTTCGACTGTATTTCAATGCAAATTATCAATTTTGACTTTAAGGTGGTTTATTGCCAAAACAATGGCAAACATGTTTTGAAAATGCATCATCCAGGCAATAATACAGTATAGTATATTATGAAAATATTTCTACCCCTTCAATGTTCATTCTTTCATGCACCCATTCTTGAACTTGAAAGAGCATAGAAAAATCCCTTTACTCTTTGGAAATTCATAAATGAGCAGCTTTTTCAAATTGGTTGAACTTGTGAAGTTAATATTTATGACAATAATATATGTACAGTATTTGAATTGAACAGCAAGTGTTATTTTCCGCTTTTCAGTATTCACCAGCTTCAAGCAATGTTCCCATTCCAAACAATTTAGAGATAATCTTCAATGAGAAATCATATAAGGCTATAAGATCATCTTGGACCTCTAAGATTCTGGAAGAATATTTTTCAATATATATTTCTGACAAAATGTCTTGTCCATAGTATTCCTGTGAGGCCCATGTATCTCTTTAGTTACAGACTTTCCTGCTTTTTATGGATCATTTTCACAGAGAAAATTAATTTACACCTTCTGATAATCTTTATTTATTATTTATTTCATTAGAAACCATTTTTGCTGTGACAACTGGGAAGACATTTGAAGGAAAGCAGGTGAGACTTGCAGGTTTTAATTTGTTGACGGTAATTTTTCCGGAAAATATTTGTTTTGACACTTTGAAATTCAGCTTTTTCATCGATTGCTTTTCAGAAGAGGACGTAAAAAATAAATAAAAATCCAGAAGAGCATTAAATTATAATTAATATTACTGTACAGTACTGTAGTCAAAATGCGTGGTAATATTCAACGAGAATAACAATCTTTTTTCTCTCGTTCCATATAAATAATTAATCGTCATAATGCTTCCCGGCATTATTTCGATGGCTGTTTTTAACGGCCAGAACATAGATTGATTTTCCAATATTTCCGGGATTTTTAGTTTTTTATCAAGAATATTTGGATGATGTAACTGAATCACGGTCTGCCAAGTTAGTTCACCATTAAGGTGAAATAAATTGAAAAATGTATCCTAATCTCTCGTCATATGAGCAACATTCTTGGGGCTGGATTTAAATGCTAAAATTTTCTAGCAAAAGCTGTCGTACTGTATATTGATTTTTAGCGCAGGAATTAAAATTAAGCCATGATTAATGACGTTGCAAAAACTGCGATAACTTTTTCGAATCTCAGGTTAATCAAGCAAAGTTAATGCTTCAGAATTTAAATTATTTTAAAGCTGAGTTAAAATGCATCCGCGGATAAAAGCCGCAATATACTGAAAAAATAACTTGGGGAAAAAAATCATGCGCTTAATCACCCAGGTAAAAAATCATATAAAATCCTGTTCGGCAAATACACGCAACAAAAAAACAACTCCCATCCCTGCATCATGCAAAAAACGCCGTACGAAATGCAAAGACATCTCGGCAAATAAATCCTCAATTCCACGGATTAAAAATAAATAAATATTAACCCTGAATGAGTAAGTGAAATCCACGAGGGAATCTCCCAGCAGTACCACGAACAGCAAGAATCTACTCATTATAGGACGAGAAACGAATGAGAGAGAAAATAAATAAATAAATGAAATTCACGCTGCGATGAATTAAAAGATGGCAGAAATCATCGTCATCACATTTCCCTCTGCCACCCCTGAGTCATTACGTGATTCTGCTGGTGATAATCAGCGGGCAAATAAAACGGATTCGGCTTTGAACCCTGAATCAGAAGGGAATAGACCGTGAGAAGAGAGTTTATGTGTGTGTGTGTGTGCTTTTATGGGGGATATAAAAGGGAAAAATTGGCGAAAAGAAGCGAGGTATAGTCGAAGCATCATCACTTCCGGTCATGTGTTCCGGAAGCGAGACGCGCAAATAAACGGAGGCGGACGAGTTTTGATGAGTGCGCCGGTGTAGCTGCTCCATTTGATATCTTCTGGCCAAAGCAGTCCGCCAGAAAAAACATAAAAACACGGTACTGTAAATATATCTTGTCACAAAAAGCCTATTCTAATTAAATTAAATACTGTACACAGTAAAATGCGTGAGACATTTGTTACAAAATAAAAGACATTTGCTGAACTGTACAATGTTTCTGATGCACCAGGTACCATGTGCACCTTCTTTTCTTAATTGAGAGAGAGAGAGAGGAAGAAAGTAGGTGCAAATTATAAGTGGGTAGAAAATTGTAAACATTTAATTTGATAATTTTAAAAGTTCAGGTGCATGTCACATTCAATTCTCATCTAAGAAATTTCTACAATTTTTGAGAAACATTTTTCTATGGGTGACAAATTTTAAATTGATTCAATTTGGGTCCAATTTAAGTCAAAATTTGAACTCTGGTGTGTTTTCTTTCAAACATGTTTTAAATTTTTTCTCACTAGAAATGGGGTGATTGTCTTACTTGGAGGAGGGTTTTATTCAAATTTAGGATGATATAACCAGGTGCATATCCTACTTGAGGGCATGCTATGGCACTCAAATTCTAATTTGTTCTCTAATGCAGTTTTACCAAGTCTTTTTGAGCTTACAGACAGTTTAATTTCCATAAAATGTTTTGCAGACTGAATATATTTTTGTGTGAAAGACTTTATGGCAAGTATTTAAAAAATTTTGCTTTTTGAAAAAATTGAGTTGAGCACCAATGATGCAGCTTTAGATGTCTAGAAAAATTGTAACTGTGGGCTTGAAGAATTGTTTTTCAGAATAACATATCAAAATTATTTATTTCAGTGAGTGCAAATTTGTCTGAAGTGTTATGAGAAATTAGAAGAAAAAGCCAACTTCCATAGATAATATCAACTACCATTGTGTTTCTGACATTTCAGATAAAAAAATAAAAGACTTCATTGCTACTTTTGATACATTTATTATGCTGAAAAAAATTTCCTATGGATCACCAAAAAATGTCACTGATCCACAGACCTCATGTTTGGGAACACTGGTCTATGGCATTGTTCCCCAATCAGTGGTCCACAAACTGGCACTGGTCTGTAGAACCTTGTTATCATCGGGAAAATACCTGATGATATACACACACACGTGAGCCCACGTGAGCTCAGAGTCGTAAATAATAAACGACTCTGAACTGGGTCATAGAAAAAGAATATAATAAAAGACTAGTGTTTTACTTCTGCCACTATAAAGGAGACACCGAATCTTAAATATAAAGAAGTGTAAATATACACAACAACCTTTTTACCTGTCTACAGGAAAATTTCTTCCATGTAATATGTTCATTAAAAGTAGTAATGAAGTCTGTTATTGCAGTCCTGCATTTTTGAAACAATATCAGTTGAACTTATCTGATGAAACATGAATTGTGAGTTTCTTTCATAATTGCAATTAAGACATATTTTCACCTGCTGAAATATGTTACTTCCAGTTTTCAACCCAAGAAACCTTTCTTCCATCCCAGCATCCTTTTTCTCCAAGACGTTATAGCAATATACATTTATAGCTTTTTCATGGGTTCTCAACTTAATTTCTGCAATAAAAGTTTTATCCTGAGGACTGTATCCTTGGTATTTTAAAATTTTCTGCTGGCCATTTAAAATTGTCAGAGCATTGCTGGTCTGTAGAAAATTGTATGAAACTACACCAGTCTGCAGAGGATTTTATTAAAATTTGCCTGTCTGCAAGCCCAACAAAGTTGGGGAACACATGTCTAAGGCACCACTGCAATCCCCATGCTTCCCACAAGAAGTGCATTATTCTCTCTGCAACATGCACAACAACTCATTTCATGAGGCAATTGTTACATGAGACACAACTTCAAGCTTTATTTTCCCAAGTGGTGTATATACAGGTGAACGTATGAATAACTCAAACCTCCCTAAGTCAAATACCCCCCCCCCCTTCCCAAAGTTGACTTTTTTCAGGTCCCCATCGGAATCCCCTCATAAAAAATAGAGTAAAAACCTCCCCAAGTCAAAAATGTTTCCCCTCAAAACTTCATAAATTGAATTTTCTGCTGCCTGTTGGCCTTTAGTTTCTTGAAAAAAGAACAAAAAAAGCAATAAAAACATATATTTATGTGTTTTAAAGGAAGTGAAAGACTTAATTGGGAAAATGAACCCCTGCCTCCAAATTCAGCAGCCTTTCAACTCATTTAAGAAGCCATTCAAGCCCCAAAATGTCACCATTTACACTTTTTCTACATTTTCCAGAATAAAGGGCTTTGTATTGCAGTTCCAACCTATGAAATTCAAAACCTCCCTAAGACAAAACCTCTGCAGGTCAAATTTTTTGCAGGTCCCTTGAAATTCAACTCAGAAAGGTTCAACTGTATGTATGTCTATGTGTGTGTGTGTGTGTGTGTGTCCTGCTACACCGGCAGCCGATTGGGCCAAGGCATCCCCTGATGCAGGAGCTGCGCATCTTGGCTCCCTGGGCTCATCACTCAGCGTCTCCTTGTGTCAGCCGCTCGTCACACCAGCGTTTGTCTCTTAGCAGAGGCGTCGCAATGCCTGAGGGGGGGACACCAATTTCCGCTCCGTTGCATTCCATGTCGCGGGATACCCTGTCCGGGTTCCCAACATGTCCACAAGGGACTGACTCTCACCAAATTGTGGGATATAAGTGAAAATCTGAGTTGAACCCTTGGCCTCCTGCATTTTCTGCGGAATTGGCGATTCACTTCTGTGGATTCAATTCCTCAATCAAACCTGCAATTGACTTGCAATGCTGTTCAATTACAGTACACACCGTATTTACTTGAGTACTACGTGCACCTTTTTTCTCAAATTTCAGAAGAAAAAAAGGGGTGCGCGTCATAAGCGGGTACAAAATTTTCAAGAAGTTTTAGGAAGTTGTAGGTTAATTATACTTGATTATAATTGAGAAATTTGTGACAAATTTACCAAGAAAATTTTTTTTTGACTGAAAAATTGGAAAATTGATCAGATTAATGTTCAATTCACATCTGAAGTCAAATTTTTTGATTTTATTTTCAAAATTTTGTGGCTTTAGAGTCACTAAAAAGGGGGTGCGCGCCTTACTTGGGGATACAATTTTAGCCAAATTTTGAACTGAAAAACCCCTGTGCGCACCTTACTCAAGGGTACTTGAGTAAATACGGTATATGCGAATTCCTGTGCTATTTAAATAAATGGGGAATTCTAGAAAGAAATATGTGGCATTTAAATGAATAAAAACAGGAAGAGCATTTGGTCTGTGAAATTTGCATAAGGGGAATCAAAAGCAAAGAAGCAACAGATGGCATCAAGACTGGTCTTAATAAGTACCAAGTCTGAGGGGAGATTCAGCAAAAAAAAAGCCAGTATCTGCTACATAACAAGATCTAGAAAAATTTTATTAGACAAGGCATCATTGCAAACCAATCAATGCTCAAGCCAAATAATACAAGAACATGGAAGTAGTGAAGTTAAATTAGGACATGGAAAGAAAAAATTATTTTACATTAATTGTATATGTTGGACTCAACTGAACGTTAGAAGAAAAATGTACTTTTCAAAATAATGTGGAGGGACTCTGGTGGAGCATATACCATGCATGCATTTAAATAGGATGTCCACCAGTACTGTAATTTTTTATTACAAGATTTAAATAATTCCACCTTCAAAAGAACTGTACTTCTGTTCAATTTTCAAGTTACTGTCAAGCCACTGAAAATGAAATTTGCTTGCTTGCTTTGCTAAAATCAAGTAAGAAAATGTGTGCCATGCCTTGTATACAATATTTTATTCAATTGGGTATCATGACCCCACAGGAATAACCACACCTCAGTTCTCACCAATGTGACAGCAAATTTGTGTGCTTCATGATGCGCACCTTGTTCTTTTTAATAAATGTCTTGAGTGAGATACAAGTTGTAATAGTGGGAACAAAACTCCTATTTCCATATAGGGGTTAAAATTTGACAAAAATTCTCTTTCCAAAATCTTAGAGGACCAAGATAAACTGTTAGCTTTACACAATTTCTCCTCAAAGATTCTCTCCAAAATGTTCAAACAACTAAAACTTATCTGGAAGCAGGCTGAACACCTTGTGCTTGAATTTGTGTTAGTTAATTGCATTATGATATAATCATTATGACTGATATCTTCTTTTTGTAGTCTAGTGAGGGGAACAAAGTGTATGCATTTACATCAGTTGTGCATTTGCACATTTTGTGAGATATTTTCTTTTTCTTTAATACCCATAAACAGCTTATTTCTCTATTTTAAATTTGATTTTATGGAATGTGTTTGGATGAATGTGGGCAAGGAGGGGAGGAGGTTTGGATGAGGGAACATTGTTTGAACCTTGTGAATGCTAAAAAGCAGAAAATAAAGTTTGTTTATCTATCAATCAATATGGGGGTGGTTGAGGTGGATATTAATTAAATTAGTTTATACCCCTGATCAATAACCCTTGTCCCAGAGACCATAGCTCTGCAGGTGGACAGCCTTTGTCAACCATTTTAGGACAGGAGGTCCGAAACCACAACGGGTGAACTCGTCGTGATTGTGTGTGTGTGTGTGTGTCCTAAAAAGGAAAAAGAGGAGTTGGGGAAAAGAGAAGGACAAGATAGAAGATCTTCGTCTTCTTCGTGTTCCTGTTCTTGTCTTGCTGACATGACTTCTTGCTCTCCATCTTAGTCGGCGGGCTTTTTGCCTGCTGGGCAATCGGAGAAGATTCTGTACTGAATGCCTGGCGCGAGGATTCATGGTTCATTAGGCCCTATGCCCGGGTTATGAGGCCCGGGCGTCTCCGGGATTCGCCCGCGTGGAAATAAACGCGCTGTGCTATCAATCTTTGCTCTGTGCTGCGACATCAAAATTTTTTTTTCATTTTCTTCTTCTTCTTATTATTATTATTCGTGCCTCTCTTCCCGCACCATCTTTTTCCTTCTACTATTTCCCCCCTCCCTTCTGGTATTTTTCGTCTTTGCATTTATTTTGGCGAGGCATAAAAAGAAAACGGGGGACGGACGAAGATGGCGATGACCAAAAAAGATAAACCGTCCTCCTCCAATTCGATCTTTCTTCGTCTGAGTGAAGGGGGGTTGTTTTGTTTCTGATGTGCACAGAAAATGAGATTTATTTGGACAACACTTGAAAATTCAGGGGGGAAAGAAAAAGGCATCAGGTGTTTATGAAGCAAAATTTCTAAATTAATAAAAGCCTATATGACACAGTACAGTCTACTGTTGGGTTTGGTTGGATGTGAGAGTTATAAGAGATTCCCCTGAATTTTGTCAACAGCTGTTTTTTTACTGAGGCATGAATTAATTGTCTTCATTACCCGCCCCCCCCCCAGTTCTTTAAAAGGAAGGGATAAGTTCATGATAATTTGTTGTTCAAAACTTTAAAAAAAACTAAACATTGTTACTTTTCTTTACTATGCAGAGCTATTGTTGTAAATCATATCCAACATCTGAATATGGAAAGTACTTTTGTTTTATGCATAAAAGTATGGCTGAACATATTACAGGTGGTACCTCACAATTTGATCCTAATTGATGGGTTGAATGATGAAGTGGTTGAATTGCTAGACAACGTCAAATGACATTTTTTCTACATGGCATTTGATGTTTCATGTCTCTCTGCAGGTCAAATTGTGTGGCAGAGGTCAAATTGAGAGTCAACCTCCCAGCAAATTTGACTGTCAAAAACTTTCCATAGTGGATATACATGTTTTACTCCGAGACTCGTTACTTAAGGAGTTCGGTGTTTGAAGAATGTTTACTTTAGGATAAAAAAAATTTACGAAGTTTTTATTGAAACCTTAGTGATTGAACAAAAAAATATAAGCAGAACTTGTAAAAACTGTAATAGGAAAAGTTTAAATTTCAAGATTGAATTTAAATTTTAAAAGGGAAATCTAAAAGGGGAACTTGGAGGTGAATATTGCAGCTTTAAAAAAAATTAAATCAGCTTCTGCTTCAAAAGTATAGCTGTTGCCAATTGATTTTAAAATTAAAATGCAACCTTGTACTATATTCACTTGAGTACCCTGAGAAAGATTTGATTTTATTCCTTGATTCCTGTGCATGACATTTTCCAAAAAACTTGACACCAGTAAGACCCTCACCATAGTTTTTGTTGACTGAAAATTAAATGTTTTCATAATACCTGTAAAATAAGTTTCAACATAATCAACTTGTAAATATATGCATAAATAATTTTAATAGGAAACGTTCCTCTAAACATGTTGTTTTCATTTTTCATCTGCAGCGATTGAGTAAAATGCATTTATTTTCTTGATTTCAAAAAAAAAAAATTACAGTCAACATACCATGACCACCCAACTTCTCTTCTTTGATTTTCCTTTCAAAAAAATGCTGTGAACTTCAATTGAATAAAGAAATGATCTTTTCAGTGAAAAATTATTACTGTATTTTATTGAAAATAATGCATATTTTGCAATTTTGTATTCTCAAGAATCTCGACTCCCGCTCTTCTCCTGCCAGCAGTCAGGCAGTTACAGGATTTTCCTTTCAGTTCAGTACACCGTTCCTCAGACATGGATTTGTACACCAGAGAAGAAACATTGAAGAAGTGCTATAAGGGGAATTGAAGAAGAAGAAGCAAACAAAAAAAAGGGGGGGGGGGGCTAGAAAACGACGGGATTGTGCCCTCATCTCCCGGCCATGAAGCTGATATCATCCACTGAGAGTTGGTTTATGCGCCATGCAACGCTGACTGCTAGGCAGGCGTCCATCACTCAGGTTGCCCGGACTCCTTTTTTTGAAAAAATCATATTTTATCTTGATTTTTGTTTTTTTTTGTTAAATGCGTGTTGCCGTTCATGCTGTCCATGTTTAAAATACATCTCTGATGAATTAACAGCTTTACATGGCTTTCAACATGACTCTCTCTGACTGATTTACTTATGAAAATTTTGAAATTTATTGCTGTCTAACAGACTTGAGTTATAGGATCACCTCCATTCATGTTGTTGAAAAGTTCTGAAAGTGATGCAATGGGGCCTTAGCTAGAAAACACCACTACAGTACTCTACTACTCTACTGTACTTGCAAACACTCCAGCTTACAAAATTGTTTTTTTAAAACCTTATATGCCTTGGCAAACAAGCAGTAATCCAGCTAACACACATTTGTCCCAACAATTTTATTTTAAAAAGGATTTTTAAAAATTTTTGGGAAACAAATTCAGCTTATACAGACTTTCCAGCTCATAAACAATTTTCGTGGAAGTAATGATGTCCATATTAACCATGACCCCATTGTAAATTATCCTATGGTTTTCTAGATGTACCTATATCACATGCAAGAAATGCATTCCTGGCAAAGAACAAGAAGAGAACAATTATCCGTCTTCAGGAAATTGTTCTCGCAAAAATTGTTTGCAATAAAGAAGAACTTCAGCTGAACATGTTTACTCATCAGTTTCTGAAAAGATCTTGGATATGTTGCACAAATGTTGAAATTCTGTAAACGCCAATAAGAGAGGTTCACAGCACATTACCTCCATAAAAGTATAAGAGGAAACAGTTTTTGATAAATATTTTTTAGAAAAATCCACTCTCCATATTTCAAAAGAATCTCAATTTTGTGATCAAGTAAAAATGCAATATACAGTCAAAACTGGATTTACGGTCACCATCAATTCATCCATGGCCAATTCTCGGTTTCAAATAAGAGTTGGCCAGCATTAAATCAGAGGTATTTTGAATACGAGGGTTCTAACAAAAGTTTTCAGAGTAGCAATGAAAATGGCTTACAGTTGAGCTGAAAAAAATAATCTTTAGGGAAAACATATTCTTTGGCACACAAAAAAATATCAGCCCAGTTTGAGAACTTTTTTTTGCATTTTTTTCATAATTCACCCTGACAGAGTTTTGCTTTCCACTCAAAAGATGAGGCACCCTTTTTTGTTGTAGCCCTGCTTTCCCCTCAGAATTTTTGAAATCAACTTGGCATTCTTTCTAACCCTCGTGCGGCAAAGTTGGGATATTTTTGCAAAATTTTGTGTCACTGAGAACTTGGAATTTTAAAAATGCAACTTTTGTAAGAAGGCCTGAGTCAAGAAAAAGTCTGACATTTTTTTCTAATCCAGCAGAAAATTTTGGATGTAAATTTTAAAAAATCCCTGACTGGGTGGCGTTTTTTCCTGCATTCCTGGTATAGGATTAGCATGGAAGATTCCTGAAAATAAAAGAGATTTTGTCTCCCGGATTTTTCCCTACCTGGGAGCATTTCAGCGACCTTGGGTCAAACTGAAATGCTCCACCCCCCAAAAATATCCCGACTTTGCCTCATGATGGAAATGAACCCTCCGCCATCCGAGGGCTAAGGGTTGCCTCCAAGACATCCAATGCAATTCCGCCATTTTCATCAATAGCTGCCTTCATAGCCGCCACATTGACTTTGGCAGCTGTGAAGGCAGCTATTGATGAAAATGGCAGAATTGCATTGGATGCCTTGGAGGCAACCCTCAGAAAGAATGCAAAGTTGATTTCAAAAAGTATCACTTATCACTGAGTATAGAGCGTTGAATACCCACACACAGATCTGGGTCGCTGCGATCATCAGCCACCAGAGCTGCAGCCGTCCATCGTCCTGTAGATCACAGGCGCACAATGGGAGGGAATGCAGAACGTGACAGACACACACACACACACAGATAGACAGACAGACAGACTCACAGGCGTCATGATTACGCCTCTCCACCTCCCCTCCCGCCAGCGCGTTCGACCAATAAGAAGCGAGAACGGCCGATTAGAGGCCGATCTGGGGGCAGACGAGGAGGCGGGGCTTTCGTCTCGCGAGAAACAACATGCTGCACCAGGCGAGTGGGAGTGTCACAAGCAGTTGGGCGACTCTCGCACATCCTGTACACAATACACGTCTCTCTGCCGCGTGCCGTCGTCGTCGTCGTCGTCGACACCCGTCCCCCATTTCCAAACTCTGCCCGCCCAGTGTGACTATATCGCTGCTCGCGGTCGCTTAATCGCAATACGGGGGGAAAGAGCGACTGGGATCAGTTGGCTTGTCTTGTTCTTAGGTCGCGCGGTACGAGTTCAGTATCCATTAGGTCGCCTGAATGAGAGGTATAAACCCCCCCGACAGGAAGTGCAGGCCGTTCTGAGTGACTCATTCTGAATTTTGCTCATGCAGTTGCACAGAAAATAAGTACAGTGAGACCCTGAGATCTGGACCTAATTGGTGAATCAAGAGAGTCCCCAAGTCAAAATGTCCCCAAGTTGAGTCTCATTTTCCCTTAAACTAACATTATATAATTTTTAATTGGTGTTTTATGGACAAAATACAAAATGTATTTGCAATTTTATCACAAAATGTCCCTATGTCAAGTCCGTGTCCTCATGTTTGGCCTTTTTAATTAATTTTTATGATAAAATAAGTGTCCGTATGTTGAATTGTCTGCAGGTCAAGGTGTCCGCATGTGGGGGTCTCACTGTATAAACCCCCGACAGGAAGTGCAGGCCGTTCTGAGCGACTCTTTTTGCATTTTTGCTTATGCGGTAGTGCAGAAAGTAAGTATTGAAAATGTTCATTTATTTTGCTTTACCACGTGGCGAAATTATTGGACCGAAAATTTCCCATTGTGTTTTTGCTGTTCATTCCATGGATCAGTAAACCGGTAAACCCAAAACCCCAACGAAAATACGACGTGTCTCATTTTGTATCTATTTGAAAAAAAATCAAATAATCCGGGCTACGCTTTTCCATTTGCCAAAAGTGGACAGAAAATTCCTCGAATCAAATTCTTGGGATCAATCGGGTTCCGTGAGACGTGCTGTGATAAAAAATTCAGTATAAGTTGAGTCATCTGGAAAAACAGGCATACATAAATAACTAACAGTCTTTTATTGTTGATTTGAAATCATTTTTGGCAAACGTTATTTTTTCCCGCGTGGTGCAAACGATCAGAAATTGGAAATGTCCACTTTTGGTATCAATTCGTAGTGTTTTGATGTCTGTGGATGAAACGCAGAAGTCGAATAACTCATGACTTGGGATCTTCAACTGAAATTAAATTAATGAAAGTATCTCATGACGTTGAAGTTTATTATAAAACGGTTTTATATGTACAGTATTTTAATGTTGATTTGAATGGCATTAATTCAAGTGTTTTAACCTAAAGACCAATGGCACAACATTTGAAATATCCAATGGAATGGCAAATTTTCAAAATTCATGGAATGAATAAATATTCGGTTGCCTCTTTATTGTTTTCTTTCCCTATACAGTTGGACATTGCTATCTTGAATTTGAAAGGACTCCAAAAGTGTTGAATTTCAAGAGTTTTTGAGATCAGAAATTTGACCTGATTTGCATAGCTTAATCAATTTAATGAACTTTCTGGCATAATTGTTGAATGAGTTTTTTTCTTAGATGTCCTATTTGCATTAAGTTGCCAAATCTCTTGCAACAAAACATTGAATATTTTCTGGATGAGGTGTTCTAAAAGTTATTCTCTGCTTAAATTTTCAAGTGCACTGGAAAATTCAACTGCTGAGGGAAGTAGGACAAAACATTTTGAGTTAAAAATATTTAAAATGCATTGGTCTTGAAGGGATTGGCCATGGATTTACTGAAAATTTGAATCAGGGAGGTTTTTGACTCAAGGCTACAGGTGGTACCTTGCAATTTGATCATCAAATTTGCTGGGAGGTTGACTCTCAATTCAACCTCTGCCTTGCAATTTGACCTGTGAAGAGGCATTAAACATCAAATGCCATGTAAAAAAAACATGCCATTTGACATTGTCTCACAATTTAACTGCTTTGCAATTTGCCTGTAGTCCAGGAACAGTTTAGGGTCAAATTTGTTCCATAGTGGACATAAACTCTCTCTCCAACTTGACAAAAATGTCCTTTTAGAACGTGTTTAACGGAATTATATTTGTAATTACTATGTTATTTTTTACGTCTAATGAAGTTAAAAACTTTGGTTTAAAAGTTGGTTTCCACATTTGGAAATTTTTACTTTGGTAGTGACACATTTTTGCTGTATATTTGGCAGATACTGTAAGTAATTTTATTTTACATCATATTGTTCCAATATTGCCAGAAAATATAAGGACTGTGGCATATGAAATCCCTGATTTCAGAAGAAAATCCCAATATTTTATAATAAGCTTCTTACAATGTTCTAAAAGGCATTGTTCAGTGTGCATTGGAAGATTTCATGAAGTACAAATTCACCTGTACTGCACAGTGTTTCATCCCAAGAAAAGCAGTACAGTATTAGTGATCAAATAATCCAGTACAGTGATGGTACGGTAATGCAGTTGAACCTCTCTAAGTCCAATTTGAATGGACCAGCAAAACAATTTGACTTAGTGAGGTCATGACTTAGAAGAGGCTTTGAGTTTTGTAGGATTATATGTGTTTTACTTATAGAATCAAGCATTTTTATCATGGGAAACCCTGAAGAATTGCACTAAATTGTACATGGTGATATTCTGGGCCTCAAATTGCTTCTAAAAGGAGCTGGCAAATAGCACTCAACTTGGAAACAGGGGTTCATTTGCCTAATTTAGTCTGTCACATTTGGTCAAAGCATCATTAAATTCCATTTTTCATTGTTCTTTTCTTTCCTGTTTCAATAAATAATAACCTATTACAGATCTCAAAAATTTGACTTATGGAGGTATCAGAGAAAAACCCTTTGAGTTGGGAGATTTTTGATGCATCATTTCTAAAGGAATTCTGACGGGGACTAAAAAAAATTTGACTTAGGGAGGTTCAACCGTGTTTTTAGAAACTGTTGGGAGTAAAAATCCTGCCAAAAAAATATGAGGAGGTGGAAAAATACCTAGAGAAATATCCAAAAGTGCCATATCAAGCCCTAAAATTGATTCTCCACCTGCAAAACCTGCATCACAAAAACGTATTTGCTTTTGTTTTAAAAATCCTCCCAAATAAATATGAGGAGGTGGAAAAATACCTACAGCAATATCCATAAATGCCATGTCAAGCCCTACAATTGATTCTCCACCTGCAAAACCTGCATCACAAAAACACATTTGCTTTTGCTTTTTTTTTTTCTTCTCATCTGATTGCAGATGGAATCCAGACACAAATTTCCATAAATTCGCGGCTGACGAAAAACGGATCAATTTCCATTCGAATACCCGTGCAAAAAATAAAAAAACCCAGGAAGTGAAATCACAAAAAAAGGGAGGGTGAGAAAAATAAAATACAAGAGAAGAAAACGCGAAGCGGAAGTAAAAGATGGACGAATCCGGGGATGAGACGACTTCCCCACCGGGGTCTCCACCCACACTGAGTCCTCCTCCCGCGATGGAAGACCACCACCAAGTCCGGGTACCACCACCACCACCACCACCACCACCAGCACAGGGCACCACCAGCCTCATCCCGCCGCATCTTTTCATCCCATCAGCCGGCGCCACAATAACGCCGACACCAGCAGCCGCAGTAGCCGCCATAACGACGCCGGCAACCGGCGCCAAAACCTCGTTCCGCATCGACGCGTTGCTCGGATCCCCGCCGGATTCCCGCCATTCATCCCCGTCTTCGTCCCCTTTCCCACCCACACCTCAGCACCTCCATCATCATCATCATCAGCAGCAGCAAGCAGCCGCCATCACCGCCGCCGCCGCGGGCTTCCAGCCGTACCAATTGTTTCCTTACGGCGCCGCAGCGGCGGCGGCGGCTTTCGGGTCCGCGTTTCACGCGGCTACGCCTGCGAGGTTTGCAGCAGCAGCGGCGGCTGCTGCTGCAGCAGCTGCTCATCAACAACATCAACAACATCATCATCATCATCAACAGCAGCAGCACCAGCAGCAACAACAACACGTAGTTCACAGACGACTACGGGACTCCGATCCTAGACGACACCGCAGACCTGGGCGGACCCTAACCGAGCGTGCGAGCCGGGTGGAGGACATAGGTTCCTACCGCAGAGGCCTTAAGCGTCCACTTACAAAAAAAATTTAACTTGTTTCTTTTTTTCTATTCGTCGCCGTTGTTGGGTCCAGAGGCACAATTTTTACCGCCAATGAACCCACCAAGCACCCACAAGAACCATCGAAAGTGTAATAATCTCACTGCAAAGTCATTTGGAAAAGGAGAAAGCAACTTTTATACTGTTTGAGGCCATTGAATCCTCTAAACCAGTGTTCCTCAACCTTTTTTGGGTCTGCGGACTGGCAAATTTCCATACAAATTTTGCGCGGAACAGCAAAGTTTTCGCAATCTAGAAACTTTTGCTTGAAAAACGTTATCGCAGGTACCGGTATTAGAAAATGTTCTGCATAAATTGAATTAAGAACCAATGAAGTAGCTGTTATGGTAGGATCTCTTTTTAAAAAATCAGAAAGCTGTGCTTGATTCTCAGAATGAAAATTTAAATAATTTATTTCAGCAGATGAAAATGTGTCTGAAGTGTTATTAGGAGAAATGACAGCGTTACCTTTTCATCAGGTTATTTCAACTGACATTGTCTTTCAGAAATTTCAAATGAAGGTAAGAATTCATTGCTAATTCTTAGAAATCAATTATGCTGAAGAAAATCTTGATGAAGCAATGGTCTGCAGAAGTTTTTTGCCAGTCTGCAGGAGATTTTCTTCAGTA